CCTCAAGAGTCTGTTTCCCATTTGAGGTGAAAGTCGGAATTCCTTTGTTCAGGCCGGTCAACTGAAAATTTGAAGCCGTTGGTTTATATGAGAGACGATTTCATGTTTTTGTTTCATTTGTTCCAACTGAAATTTATTCAATCACAGTTGAACCTCCGTAAGGTCAACTTTTTTTCAAGTCCCGGTCTAAATTCCCTTAGAAACAATGCTTTAAAAACCTCAGGGACTCAAAAAGATTTTTACTCTCAAACCTGGGGTGAGTTGAATTTTCTGAGGCTCTCAGGCTATTTCTTTCCTAACACATGAAAAAGAAAAGCAATTAAAAAATGGAACTTGATGTGCTTTGAAAGAAAGTGAAAAAACTAAATTGAGCAAATGAACCCCTCTCTCCAAGTTCAGGGTCCAGTAAATACATTTAGGAAGCAATTTATAATGACCAGAATATTATCAACTTGGTGAAATTATTGTATGTTTTCCTGTAAAAAATCCTTGGTTCAATAACTCAATCCGCTGTGAGTCAAAATCTTCTTAAGTCAAAGTTTTTTTCTGGCCCCTTGAAATTCGGCTTAGGGAATTTTGACTGTAATTGCAACAATAAAAAAGTAGAAACAGTAGCTCTAATGACCTTCTGGAAAGTATTTCGCCCGTTTCGCCTGGTGTTCTTAAGAACGGGGAAACCTTTTCGAGACGAAATCAGTTCGAATTACTCACTCAGGCTTCCTGTGGGATTAGAAGAAAAGCTGTTTGTTTTCCTTTCTGGTCCTATATACTCACTCATTCACAAACTAGGCTAACGTATGCATCACGTCGTTTTTCCTCTGAGTATCGACTCGAATTTCTGAGCTGAGCAAAAATAGATTCCTCATCTCGTTAAAAATCCACCGAAGTTCACTGAACTGCGAAAAAGAAACGGGCTCATCCAGTTTGATTTTTTTCTTCTTTTTCCGTCTGTTTCACAAAAAGGTGAGAACATGTGCGCGATTTCCACGAGGAAGAAATAAATAAATAACTGAAACCCTGTCCGTTAACGAGGGTAAGCCGAGTTCTTGACTTAATTACGCAATGAGGGTAAAATAATTGCTTATCCCACGTCTGGAATAATCTGACTTTATTCCTTTTTTTTTTCTTCCAACCGGACGTCGACCCTATATACAGTATATGGTGGAACAATGCTTGTTGGAACTTATTTTCCGTCCATTGCCTGCCTGCGATTTTCCTTTCCTGGTGTATATTTTTTTAGTCTAGTCTGGTGGATAAGAGGGTTGGTTCATAAGTTGTGAGGTTCTTTGAAATAGATTCATTGGTGTTGCATAGCAATTCCAAATTTTTTTTTGCTTGCATTGCCCCATCATTTGGCAACACTTGCTTAGTGATGATCAACAATACTCTTTGCCTATTTCAATACATTTTTTCATGCAATAAATTCAACGATCAAAACGGTGTCAAAAATCGAGTTCTGCTGTTGATTAGGCAAACTACCTTTTTGCAGAGTTCAGCATCATTTCTGCCAACAAAGAGCAGCTCAATCTACTAAGAGACTCTTTGAGACTGGGTAAAACATTGAGTTCTGTTGTTGATTAGGCAGCCTGTAACCTTTTAACATGGTGCAGCTGCATTTCTGCCATTAAAGAGCAACTAACAGAACTTGACTTTAGCACATGTTTTGGTTATTGAATTCATCCGCTTTAGAAAACGCATTGATTTCAGCAGAGTATGTTGGAAAGCACCAAAGCATTGCCAAATGATGTGGCTGTGGATTAAATCTACACAAAAGGCAGAATTTGAAAATGAAACACAGAATCAGCTGTGGGGTGTGGCTGGGGATTTCCTTATGAAAACCCAAAAGAAAGATAAAAGTATATATCAAATTAACCCCAAGATTGATTCACACACTTCTTCACATCAACACAATAGACAAAAAAGATAAAAGATAACCTTCACAGTCACACACTTGCATTGCAACACAAATCTTTTTTAGTCTGCTCTTCTGCACACCTGATTTGTTAAAACCTTTGAAGGATATACCGATTAAAATCTCTAGTATTCAATCAATATGGCTGCCATCTAACAGCAGCCAGTGTGCAGGTACAGCAGTACATTAAGGTACCAAATTATTTGGTCACAGGTGCCATGCAAGTACAAAACTTTTTTGTTTTATTTTTAAAACTCTGTTGGCTTTGTTTCAAAAAGTCTCAGAACTTATGAACCAACCCTCATTCATGGGTGGAGTGCAGTAAATATTCTTTTTTCCTGGCCAAAAAAGCTGTGGGTTGCAAGACGTTGGATGCGAAGGACACAAACGAGGGGAAATGGAGAAAGAGGATGAGGGTGATTTTTTGGGGGGGATGAGGAGGAAATGAATGAAGGCCAGGAAGAAGCAACCGGAACGAATGATGACGGGAAAAATCTCTGCTCTGCGGTTTTGATGAGTCACTATGGTGCTGCTGGACAAAAAGAAATGCGCCAAGAAAAATGCCAGGCATCTCGTGCGACAGCACAATTGATGGGTTGCACAAACTCCATTTTATTTTCCAGTTTTATATTCATCAGTTCATCATCTGCGCGAAATGTTTTGAACCGGAGAGTTCGTCCTTTCAATCCTGTGAACTTTCATTAGTTTTACGGATTTCATATGTATATTTTTTTTAGCATTGAATTTTCATGGAGTCTTTTCAGTTTTAATTTGCAAGAAAGATGAGATAATCGTCGGTTGTTGTTGAATGGTTGAAATCATTCTCCCAGAAGAATGACATGCATTAGCATAAAAACATCTGATATTGCATCGTGGAAACGCTTTTTGCCGCCAAATAGCATAAAATTACTTCGCTAGAATGACAAAAGGTTACTGATATTCATGACAAGCGTTGGATGATAAAAATTTGGAATGAGCCTTTTGTTGTTTGGATAATGACTTTAATTTGATCTAATTGCAAAGTGAGGGCTCTTGCCTCTACTGCCTTGTCCAATGGTCGAAGAAGTGGAAACTTTGACTGACTTCAAGTGCTTGAAGATAAAAACTGATATTAAGTGTCTTAGTTTCTCTACACAGATGAAGAAAAAATTGCCAACAAATTTCTCAATACTAATCTAAAGGAGGGATGAAAACTGTATTCCCCAATAAAACTTGACTTGACCTCTCATGGGAGAAACAAGAGGGATTTTTTTCTTTGAAAAGTTTAGGGACTGCAAAATTTCATCTTATTCTTCCGAAAGGCTACAAATATTACTTGGTCAAATGTCTCATGAAATAAATATAGTTCCAGATACAGTGGAGATAAGAAGTTGAAATTGCGGGTTTTGCATTGAATTTTTTTTTATACTGGGCAGGATGCTGAACTTGGAGGCAAGGGTTTGTTTGTCCAGTTATTCTTTCACTTTCTTTTGAACAGGATCAAGATAACTTTTTATTGCTTTTCTATTTTCTGGACCAAAAAATTAATGGCCAAAAAGCATCCAAAGTATTCAAGTTACAGTATAAAGGTTTGAGGGGGAAAGCCTTTGAGTTAGAGAGGTTTTTAAGCCATTGTTCATAAGTGGATTCAGGCAATGATTCATTTGTCTTTTGCAGGTGGTACCTTGCAATTTGGCCCTATTCCATTACCAGACTAGGGTAAAATTGCAAGGCAATATCAACACAACATTGCAAAAAAGTGACCAAAGCAGGTGCATTTCTAGGCAGAGGTTGAATTGCAAGTCAACCTCCCTTCAAATTTGACTGTCAAATTGCAGGAGGTCCAATTGCAAGGTACCAACTGTATTTTGGAGAGAAATAATTTCCTCATAAACCCTGACTGTGAGGAAGACATTATCATCTCTGCCTCACCTAATTATTCATGGATCTGTGACTCATACCTAAAACTTGAAGCATTTTATGAAGATATTTTAAAATAATTCTATTAAGGAATTTAAACATGTGAAGATACCAATCCTAAAAAGAATGAACAATTGCTACATTGTCCATGAATGAAAAAAGTTTTCCTTTTCTGGAAGATTTTTTGGGACCTCACTGCACCACTGATCAATAAAAATGAATTAGCTGATCAACTATAAAAATGTAATCTGGTCGAAAACCACCCAAGTAGAAACAATGGTCAGGAATTGCCAACAACTCTTCCCCTCTCCCAGCAAATTTGGGTGTTGACTCCAGGATGTCTTTCATGAAAATTTCTTTGGCCAATCACAGGCCTCCAAAATTGTCCAAGATTCCAGAGTTAGTACTGGATCAAGACCAGTAGTAAAAATTGATGAAAAACTTCTTTTTTCACTTGCATCATCTGTCTGTGCCTATACCTGGTTGTTTCATGTACAGGCTTCTGAGTTACAAGCTTGCTGAGAGGTTTTTACAGTTCTTTGATATGTCTCGTGGATTGTTCAAAAATATGTCTTCGATGAGGACAATTTCACTGCCTGAAAATTCAGAAGTATGATTTACCTTCAACCTAGGGATTCTATGGAAAATTCCTGGCCACTGTCCAGGGCTAATTCTGTGTTTTCTTCATCCAAATGTATTCCTTTGATCCACAGCTTTTTCTTCAATCCTTGTGTTGGTAGACTTCAGTCACCAACAAAAGCTTCATGATTTGATTTATAATTTCTTCTTTTGGTCTATTGTTGAGGAAATTAACTAAATATTCATAATTTAAAAGCGAGAACTTTAACCTTTATGGTGTTGTTCTGCTATACAATCGAGTTCAGGAGAGAGAAACAAACAGTAATTCAACGCAAATGCGGGGTTAAAGATAAGATGGAAAAATCACATTTGTCCCAGCAGTGGTTAAAGTCATTTTCGCGTCTCCTTTGTGCCTTTTCCACCACAGGATGTCGTGAAGGAACGCGATGCATAATGTGGTTGTTATCCAGATGCCACGAAATATAAAGGGATGCCACGATTATTCTGACGGGTGTCTCGTAATTTTCCATTCCTATTATCCCTCTTCCACTTTTTTTCTTTTCTCCTGAAAATTTATTCAAAATCCTTTGTTGCTGTTTTTCTTTTGCAGAGCTCGCAGAACCGGATCCTCATCAAGGGCGGTCGCGTCGTCAACCATGACAACATTTTCGACGCTGACGTTTACATTGAGGACGGTGTCATCACGTGAGTGACGAGATTTACAGTTTCATCTGTCGACGACGAGAGGGTTGCTGAGTCACGGCTGGTTTATTTTTTTCGTGTGGCTGTCTTGCTGTTTCAATGTAAAAAAAAAAAATGTGGGGCAGTACCAAACTTTTCTCATTTTTCCTTGTTGTTTTTTGTCCAAGACGTGCATACAATGAAATCTCGTCACAAAAAATAATTGAAAAAAAATTTTGTATGACAAACTTTTATTCAAATCCCAGCAAGAAGTTCTTATACAGGACGTGTTGAAATGAGATGAAGCAATCTCATTGCAACAAGCTTTCCAATTATGGTACTGTATAACAAACTTTTTTAGAATTTTTGTGATGAAAATACCTAATGAAAGCAGACACAGTCTCGGATTTCCAAAACAAAATGTGACTGTGACTGGTTCTTGGGACATGAATTACAGGTGAAATCAATAATGAAAATACTGAAAATTTCACCTGAACATCCTCTCCTTTAATGCTTCGATAGCAGTGGATTAAATTTCATCCTGTGGCCGTGCCAGGAAATTTTTAAATGTTTGTGCATTTTATTTGGACCAAAGGTCACTGAAACAAAGGTTTGGCTGAGTAGCTGAAGTCTGGAAAAATCTAGAAAATGTAAACCCATATGGTATCTGAAATCCCTCATTGTTAATCCTATGAAAAAAAAGTGAAAAAATGCCTCACAGCAGCCAAGGTTTTGGTAAATTTTTCTATGAAAAAAATCAGGATTTTCCAGATTCTTTTCTTTTCTGATCATCCTTGAAGTTTTCTTTTTTTAATGCCTTGTGGCACAACATTTTTCAAATATATCATGGCACTGCTGTCTAAGGGTCAAAGAGTATTTGTGGGTTAGGAGAGGGGGTTACATGGAGAAAAAATTTACCCAGACAAAACTGTATATAACAATGGTTACAGGACAGGTTTCGTGGTTTGCATACTTGAGAAACCCTATTGATGCTTGAAAACTGTAAGGTTTTTTGAAACATCTATACCCTTACCTGTGCAGAAATGGTTTAGAATAATTTAAAGTTTACAAAAAGAACTTTACTACTGTATAACGTTTACCTGTCATTCAGATGGAATGTTTGTCATTGGCATTTTGAATGTTCTTTGGAAATCAGTTTTTTGAAAATGGAAAAAAAGCTGGAAAGGCCAGAAAAGGAAGATCTTGTGTATATGTAGGTTCAATTTAAAACAATCTTCCCCATCAATAATATTGAACATCTCAATATAGCAAATTATTTATTACAGCAAACTTTTCCTGAAGTCCCTACAAGTTTTCTGTGACATTTATTGTAGTAGGAAAAATGTGGAAAATGTCTTCACATAGCATGGAAGGATTCATGTCTGGATTCTATGTGTACAAGCATAATTTCAATCTTTTGAAGAAGTTATTATTCGTTTGTCCAAGGAGTTGATCATAAATTACTGTATTCCTTCATTCTATGTTTTTGATCATTTAAGAAAGGCTGGATAAAAAATTTATTATCTGGAATGGGATGCTTCATAGAAAGAAAGAAATTAAATGATGAGTGGAAATTATGTTGGAGTGACTTCATTTAAAAAATTATAAAATTTCGATTTTTTTCTGAAATTTTTGGAAAATAGACTTTACTTTAGTGTGCAGCATACGAATTTTTTTTTCATCAGGTATTTCAAATAGTTCATGTACGGTTTTGATGTTTATATATGCGAAAAATAGGGTGTAATATGCACCGTACATGTTGATTTTTATGGCCTATAAAGTGTAAGGTCATGATGAAGTCAAATTACACCCTTTTTTTCTAGGAGTATGACGGGTCGTTTTAGTACGTGTTTTACTGCTGGTACTTACACGCTAAGTTTTCAATTCCAATTTCCGCTAAGTCATCCCAGATTTCAATTCCCGTTTGTGTGACCTGCATGCGTATGAGTGAACATGAAGAATGAAAGTACAGTACTGTAGTTCACTTCATTGACTTCATTTCGTTCAAGTGGTTATCCGTGAACTTTAGAGACTTCTTTTAAATTTGAAGTGCGCTTCAAGTTTTGGCTTTTGCAGGAGACAATCAAGCGAAAAATAGCTAGAAACGGTCATTTTTTTTTTACTCCCTCCCCAAAGAAAACTAATGTTTTTGAAGATTTTCTATTTCGTGGCAAACAAAAACAGGGGTACAGTACATTTGTTCTGTGGTGGAGCAATATTGGGCCAAAACAGGCATGTTTAGGCTATACTGTATCAACTACAACAAAATTATTTTGCAGATAATTTTTTGTTGTGATGCATGTTTTTGTTGGTCCTAACATCTTCTTCATGAGCGCCATGTTTTAAAAATCTCCGTTAATGAATTACTTTTGAGCTGTAATCGCAATATAACAAATATATATCCCTGCCATGTGCATAAGCCATGGGGATTATTTGATAATTGGTAGAAAAATGAAAAAAATCCAGCTTGTCAGCATGAAAACTTCACCAAAAACGCGAAGTAGAAAGAGCTTTCTGTGAAAATTTCTTTGAAATTATTCAACTCCATTTGAGAACGTATGTGTGCCTTTCCCTCAAATGAAAAGTATGGTAGAAGAAATTTCCCTCTCTTTCATAGAACAAGCATGTATAAATGAATGAGTGTGCAATAGTTTGAAGTGAACATATCTCCCTGATGCATGTGTTACATTTTATTTTTCAAGGTTTTGAAACCCCCCCCCCCCCCAAAAAATGGTCCCAACCTATGGTCTGCAGAAGTTTTTTGCTGGTCTGCAGGAAATTTTCTTGAGCATAATAAATTGTCCAAAAGTAGTAATGAAATCCCTATCTTCATCTGAAATTTTAGAAAGAAAGATAGCAGTTGACATTATCTGCTGCACAAAATGAAAGCTGGCTTTTCTCCTAGTAACACCTGGGACCAATTTTCACCTACTGAAATAAATTATTGTTTTTCTGCATCCTGAAAAATCTTTCTTCAATCCCAATGTCAAATTTTTGAAAACTATCCAATGTAGATGATTCATTGGTTCTTAACTAATTTTTTTCAAAACAGCAGAAACTTTTTAAATACTTTACCTACCAGAAAGTCTTTCAATGAATGAATTAACAGAACACTTTATTTGCCGCTTTTCAGCGTTCACAAGGCACAACCAAGACTCCTGCATCCAAAAACTTCTTCAAAAGATTGAAATTATGCTTGTACACATAGAATCCAGACATGAATCCTTCCATGCTATGTGAAGACATTCAATCACTTCAAAGCATGAAACAAAGGACAACCAATGACAAAAACAAAAGAGAGAACACACTTTCAAGCAAAACTTTTTTGAGTCTGCAAAATTTTTCAACACACTTACCTGCTGGTCTGCAAAATGTTTTTTTTTCAAATTTGCCAATCCACAAAAAACTTCATGGAAATTTGCTGGTTGGCTGGCCCTAAAAGGTTGGGTGACACTAGCCTGAAGTATTTTGAAAAGCCCTCCAGACATCAACCCACAGTAGAATGAGTCATGAATGCAAAGAAAAAGTCCCCAAAACCTAGAAAATGTTACTTTATTTGTTGGCACTGCAACGTTTCCAAAACCCCCAAGTGGCCTAAAATACTTTCACTGCAATAATAAAAAAATTAAAAAAAATAGGACGTCGGTTCAAGAGGCTTCTTCTTCCTATTCTTCTTCTACTGGTTGATTTTGTAGAGCATGATCGGATTTTGTCTGCCTGTGGGGTCCCCTTGTACGTTCCAACTACCACTGATCCGCTTTAGTTTTAAAGCTCGGGGGAGACATTTAAACGAGCTTTTGTGCCACGCTGGTATTGGCCCACATCCCGGATTAACGAAACTTTGCTCTTCCTTTTCAGCTCAGCTGAACCGCTTCAGCCAGCTTTTGTCCTTCCTTTCATTTGTTTCATGTGGAGTGTTCCACTACGAGGCTTTTCCAGGGCTAACTACAGTAACACCAATTGTATTGTCTTTCCTCTCAACTGACTTGCTGGGTGATTTGTGTAAATGTGGTAGCCCAGAATTTGACCCTATAATCAATTGCAGCACTTAGGTTGAATGGCCAAGCAGTCACATTTGGAGATATTGTATGAAATTGAGAAACAGCTGCTTAAAATGCTATCAAAGCCTCTAAAGGAGATTAAATTGTTATAGACAAAGGTCAAACTGTGAGTCAACCTCCAAGTAAATTCAAGCATTGAATTGAAGGACAGTCAAATTGTGGGAGGAGATCAAATTGTGAGATATCACGCCTGTATTGTTATACAGTAGGTCTGAACTGCCTGATTGACATACAAAACTGTTGTACCGCTTTTTTGCACAATTACCCTATGAATGTTTTATGGTTTTTTCCATAAAATTGGGTTCCATGTCATATTGGAATGAAATTTTTTGGCACATTATTCTTGGAAAATTGTGAAGTAGAGTCAAGTTCAATGCAAATGAATTCTTATTTTCTTTAGTTAGGAGTTTATAATGTCTACTGCTGTAATTCTTGAATTGTACACATTTTCCACTGCAAAATTGGATTTGCATCTTATGTGGGGAGTTTTGCAGCTGAACATGCAAGGGTGTGGTGTTCAGAGCATGAATACCATCACCGTATTTGCAATACATTTGTATTTTTCTTTTAAAATTTCTCAACTAAAAATAGCATTGTGAGTGTCTTTCTAGATCTGATGGCATTTTTCATTCAGTGGTACAGTAATTAATTTGTACCCATGGTAATAATTTGCAATTCATCAATTTTTGCTTAGGAAAAGAAATTCAGCTGAATTTTAATTAAAAGAAGTTTTCTACTTCACAACTGCTAATTCTCAGTCCAAAAGAACAATACTGTACACTACTGTATTGGAAATCCTCATTGCTGTTGGAAATGTGTAAGGTGTCATGCGTGGGTCCATTTGATCCCAGACAAAGGAATTGAATTGTACAGCCATCAGAATGCATGTTTTGGATAATAACTCAAACTTTTTTCAGAGGAATTCATTCTCGTTCTTCAGATTGTCATTTCAATGAGCTGCTTGGAATGGCAGAGTCAATTGTAAGATTGGTTGGTTAGCTCAGAAGAATGAATGAGGTAAATTATGTTTAAAGGCCCTTTAGCACAAGATTCTAACTTCTCCTCTCAAAGAGCAATGAAGGCTTTTATACCCAGGTTCTCAGACTGGGTCAGGAAGAAAATCTGGTGATTTGTTCCTAGCTCAGGATTGGCCAATTGTAGTAAAATCAAGGAAGTGATGACCACTTCTTGGCCTTGGGTGAGGCTCAGTGAGTCTGGTAAAAACTTGATTTTGGCAAGGCTCACTGGCCTCAAGAAGCAATTAGTTTTCTTGTCTAGATCTGGCAGCTGCGCCACTTTGGGAGGTGGCATAAGGGGTTAAAACTTGTCAAGTAAAGTAAAGTACACTAGTACAGTATGATGAAAAACCATTTCCATTCTGAAGAAAATATGCCTGCTTTTCAGGACACACAAATGAATCTATTGCTACAGCGTTACAGATTTCTGTATACTCTATGCATATGCGATTATTTTTGAAGTACAGTATATCAACTTTCGTCAACCACAAATATTCTACCAACTTGTGTCCCTGACAATTCGGCAAAAAACAAGGTCAAGAAAAAGTTTGATACAAGTCCACTTTTCCTGGACTTGCATCAGACACTTACAGGAAGTGTCGGAAACTTCAATTTTTGTGATCTGATTTTTCTTCTGATTTTTGTGGTGTTTTTCATATCTTAAAATTGAGTTTGTCATCAGATCAAAAAAAATAAAGATGCCTTTAAAATCTGCATTCGATATTGAATCAAATAGGTCCACTCGAAATTGCTCATGTAACCGCTAATTACCCGCCTTTTTAAAAATTACCCGGAAGATGATCTGCAATCATTGACTCAGAAAATGCGAGTTCCCCCAGTAGTTTAGTTTGGTTTCTTCCTAATAGGTGTTTATAAACCAAATTTCATTTTTATTTTTAGGTTTAGTGTGAGGAATATTTTCAGAAGCTATCTTCGAAGAGGACTCGTGTGCTGCTATAGATAAGCAAGATAAACAACATCTGCTGTGTGGAGTGATGCGATTTTTCGACGCTTTTCACAGAGCATCATCATAACTTGGGGGAACTGTAGTCCTATCCAATGCTTGCATTTAGTTATGCATGTTCACTCTGGTTTGGTGATCATATATTCTTTTAGCTGAAGTATGACTCTATATAGGAATATTTTACTTTTAAGATGCACAGTATTTGTACTGCACACTAGCATTTACTGTTGATTGATCGCATCTGAGCAGTTGAAGCTTATATGTTGCGGAGCAATAAGATTTAAAAAAAAGATGAAGAATCCTCACTGGATAATTACTTTTCTTTCTAGTCCCTGTCTGAATTCTTTTTGGAAAAATGCATTAAAATTCAAAAGAGCATGAAAACTTCTCTAATTTGAAGACTTCTCTTCTTTTACCTCCATGATTTGAATGTTTTAGCCCTTTTTAAGCTATTAAAGTATTTTATTAACCAAGGAGAGAAAAAAAGCAATTAAAGAAGTAACCTGATGTGTTTTGAAAAGAAAGTCGAAGACTAATTGGGCAAATGAATCCTTACCTAAACAAGTTCAGCATCCTTTGGTCTCATTCAAGCAACAATTGAAGGCCCAATATGTCACCATTTAAAATTTCCTGCAATTTTCTCTCTTTCTCTCTCTTATCCACAAAAATACTTGTTTCCCAAATTTTGAAACCTCCCTATAACTCGATTTTTTTTAGCTGGTTCCTTGAAATTTGATTCATTGGAGAGGTTGAACTGTACTGTAATTGAATTCCGCGTTAATTGAGCCACACATTACCTAAGGTTCCCTAAAAATAAGCCTGATGGTGGGGAAGAGGCCAATTTTTTTTTGTGCTGGGTAACGCTCTTCTACAGCAACGTGTGTGGGTGTAAAATATAAGGGAAGAAAGTCGTCGGCGTGGCTTGTGTTGATTTCTCGTCGAGTGACAGATGGGTGCCCTGCTGTCAAACGGAAATTTACCACAGCTTCTGTATAAACAGTAAAAGAATGATAATAATAAAAACAGAAAGAAAAAAATGCCGAAGAAAGATTCGCCTCCTCCGAGATTGCCGAACAAATTAGCTGCCACTAGTTTTTTTTTCCCCGTGCTCATTCCTCCCACAGCAAATTGTGGGATGATTTATCTTCCCAGGTTTGCTTCCTCTCAGACAAAAAAAAATAAGACAAGACGAAATCAGTTTCCATGAAATAAAATACAATTTAACGGATTCTTTCGCTTCTAAATTTTTTTTTTTCGAAAAGGGCTCCTTGGAATAATTTGCAGCAGGGTAAATATTTTTGCAGGCATTTTCAACTCCTCCCGAAAAACCCCCAAAAAATTGTTGGAGTGAATGACGCGAAATTCTGACGCATTTTCCTCTTATATAAAGAATATTGATTTCCTGTTTGGAATGTTCTCATTTCTTTTTTTGTGTTCAATGTGAAATTTTTATGGCTTATTTCTTATTTTTTTTAGGCAAGTCGGAAAGGATTTGACGATTCCTGGTGGCACGCGAACCATCGATGCCCGGGGGAAACTTGTCATTCCAGGTAAAGTTTTTTTTTTACACCCTCAATTTGTAAATGGCCTGAAAACAAAATTAGTTGCTAGACAAAGAAACTTCAAGGTCGTTGTGGTGTTTGGTCGAATGAAGAATACGACGGGATATGTCATTTGTGATGTTTACGGATTTTCAAGTACTCGTTGCTTCTGTTATTTATATTTCAGAAATCCTTGGGTTTCTAATTTTTTTTAAATAGAATTTTGAAGGAAAGATTTCTGGGAAAAGAAGTACAAAATTAGCCTTTCGATTTGGTTATGAATTGAAATAATTTTATGGTGAAATTTATTGCTAATTTGTTTTGAATATGAATGAATAGCTCAATTTGTTCCAGACGCATCGAACTTTGGAGAAACACAAAATCTTCAATTTTTAATTTATTTTAAGGTGGTGTTGATGCAAATACCCATTTGCAAATGCCGTCCATGGGAACGCGATCAGTGGATGATTTCTATCAGGGAACAAAAGCTGCTTTGGCCGGTGGCACGACTACCATCAGTGAGTTTCGTTTTTGTTTTTTGCCAAATTTGTTGCATGCGAAAATTGTGCTGGAAAATTGATGCTTTATTTATTCAAATTCCTTCTTTAGTTGACATGGCTTTGCCACAGAAAGGAGAGTCTTTGTTGGAAGCCTTCGAGAAGTGGAAGCAATGGGCTGAGGACAAGGCTTGTTGCGATTATGCCTTGCATGTCGCTGTGACCTGGTGGGGACAGCAGGTGAACTAATTTGAAATATTCTAATTTGAAGCATTTGAAATATTCAGTGAGACACCAAGATACAGGCATAATTGGTGCTTGAGCAGTGTCCCCTATGTTGGAATGTCTGCATGTTGGACCTTTAGTTTTCCCATAGACTTCAATGGGAGTTCATTATTAAAATAGGTTCTCCAGTTCATGGAAAATCAGGAATGAATCATCAAGAAATCAGATTTGTTTCGCAACTTAAAAATACAGATTATAACTTTTCAGAATAAAGAAATCTACACAGAATATGATCCTCTGGCATGAAAAGGACTCAAAGATAAAAACAATAAGTATAAGTCTTGCTATCCTGTGCTCATATGCTAGAGAATGCTAAAAACTCAGCAGAAAATTAACCTGTTTTTGGTTATAACTCAAGTGTAAATTTATAATGGTATTCATTTTAACACGTTTTTATTAACTCGCTTTCTCGTCCATTTCGGCAGCAACCTTTGAGCAACAAATAAAATAAAGAGTCAATAAGGTTATTTTTTCCTTTTTCAAAATGTGGTTTTTTAGATTAATTTTTTAATCTACTAAATTTTTTTTAACTTCTGTGAATGTAAATAGCTCAATTAGCTCAAGAGATATTCAAATTTTTAAAAATTCAAATTTTTAAATTTTCTAGAAATGCTGAAAAATGATCCATATGTTGAAATATTTTTCCAGTTTTCAGGCCCAATTTTTGGAATTTTCGAGAGTCTCAAAGTTTAATCATTCATATTTCAAGAATGGTTGCATTTTGCATTCTAGTTATATTGTGCACACATCATGGAAAAAACTCTGAAAATAATGAGAAACAAAATTAGCCTTCTCAATGATAAAGTAAAGTAATTTTATAGTCGGATTTCTCAATTTTCGATCCAATTGAACTAATTATAACACCCATTGGTTTTTTTTTCAAATGCAATTTTGCCGCAGGCGCATAAAAAATGAATTGCATGCATTTGAGTACGATCGATCGAAAAAAATGAATTACTGATGATTAAGGCTTGATATTTTGAAGAATATGACCCAAGTTATGAAAAGCAGGATGAACTTCAGAGAGCTAATTATTTTTCTCATACTTTCAGCCATTTGTCAGCGTATGAGTGATTGACTCTTTATTTTATTTGTTGCTCAAAGGTTGCTGCCGAAATGGACGAGTTGGTGGCGAAACACGGAGTGAACTCTTTCACCATGTACATGGCGTACAAGGACTTGTTGCAGTTGCAAGACCCCGAAATGATCCAGGTTTTCAAGATGTGCAGAAATATTGGCGCACTGGCTCTCGTTCACGCGGAAAACGGCGACTTGATTGCGGAAGTGGGTGTTTTTTTTTCTGCAGAATTTCCCGTCCCGCATCTCTGAAATTCTTTCGCTGTAAATAATTGCTGTGCGCAAACAAAAAAAAGGGCTGATGTCGTTGTTTTAACCTAGTATTTCTGACAGTATTTTAAATATTTTCTGGTATACATTTTAGGTGTTTAATGACATGCTTACTATTCTTTTTTTTTTCAGAATGTCAAGAAACTGCTGCAGGCCGGAGTCACTGGGCCAGAAGGTCATGCCTTGAGCCGTCCCGAGGAACTTGAAGCTGAGGCTGTAAATCGTGCTGCTACTATTGCAAACCAGGTTACAATTCTTGATTTTACCTCTTTTTGTCGGGAATGAGTCTGTGGAGAAATTACTGCCGTTACCTTACATCTAACCAACGCTCGAAAATTTCAAGGAATATATTCTTGGAGGAGACGGAAAAAATATTGTTCCGTTGGACAGGGAATTTGTCATAAAATTGTCTGCATTTTTCTCTGTTGGAATATGCTATTGATTTTAAGCAATTTAGGTTGCAATTTTCCAAAACTTTTGAAATATTGTTTACTGTATTAACGCCTATAGTGAAGTAGAAAAAATTAGTACTGTACATTCGAAAAATAATGTTGTCAGCATTTTTTCTCTGTTAGAAAAGCCTTTTGATTTTTTGTAATTTAGGTTGCAATTTTTAAAAACTTTTTAAATCTTGTTTACTGTAATAATACGCCAATATTATAGCAGAAAAATTAGTACTGTACGCTCGAAAAATCATTTTGTCAGCATTTTTTCTCTTTTAGAAAAGGCTGTTGATTTTTTGTAATTTATTTTGCGATTTTTAAAAACTTTTTAAATGTTATTTACTGTAATAATACGCCAATATTATAGTAGAAAAATTAGTACTGTACGCTCGAAAAATCATTTTGTCAGCATTTTTTCTCTTTTAGAAAAGGCTGTTGATTTTTTCTAATTTCGGTTGCGGTTTTAAAAACTTTTTAAATGTTATTTACTGTAATTATACGGGAATATTGCAGAAGACAAATGATTATTGAACAGCACTAGAGTGATGCTGTCACCATTTTTCCCATGTTGAAACATGTTAATTTGTCACGCAATTTAGGTGAATTGCCCGCTGTATGTGCTGAACGTGATGAGCAAGTCGGCGGCGGACGTGATCGTGGAGAAGAAGAAGCACGGCGCCGTTTTGTTCGGCGAACCGATTGCGGCGTCCCTGGCCACGGACGGCACGCACTACTGGAACAAGTGCTGGCGCCACGCTGCGGGCCATGTCACCAGTCCGCCCCTGAGCCAGGATCCCACGACCCCGGGTTACCTGATGGACCTGTTGGGCAGGTGGGCTATTCATCTCTCCTTCTCTCTGGCCCTGTTCATTTTTTTCTGATTTTTTCGATTAAATTTTTTTTTTATTCAAGATTTAAATGCTTGCATAGGTAATCTATTTTCAGTTTTTGAAAAATCGGTTCTTCCTGACGACGGGGTTTGATGAATGTGGGCTTATGAAATGTCACACAGATGTAGCAAAAATGAAAAATCAACTTGAAGGCTATTTCCCACGACGTGTTTTGTGATGAGATGTTGAAAAAAAGCTTCGAAATTTGACGAATTCCATCGCAAGAACATCTCGAATGCGATACCTTGAAAACCAGAACAAGTGTTTTTCTTTTAAAGCGTGATGATACTGTATGTGAAAACTTTCCAGTAGCAGTCAAACTTCTCTATGTATGTCACAGGGTGCTAAAAATGTGTCAGACTTTGGCTACAAATAATTGCATTTTTATTGTTTCAACATTTATGTAAAATTTATAAAAGATCTTGTGGGTGAAACATGTATAGAAAAGATTACAGTATAAGATAATGGGTTGGAAAGATCCATTGTGAAAGTTATTTTGGTTTGGGAAACCATTTGCTAGACAGATTGCAATTGTGATTGAGCTATTAAATTTTTGTTCACAACTAACAGCCCTGTAGCTGGACTTCTATGTGATTCCTGTTCTCATATGAAGATGATTCATGTTCATCTGTGCATTCAACAATAATGTCCTGCCAATTTTTGTTTTTCAATTTATCAAACTTTCAATAGATGATGCCGTCACAAGTTTTTCTTTATTGAAACCTGCTGTTAATTTTTGCTGCAATTTGAGTGAATTGCCCGTTGCATGTGATTCTGCTTGAATTATCATTACTTTTTTTAATCGGTGCCGAATGAAATGCTTTTTTCTCTCGTTTTTTTTTTTTTTTTTTCTAGTGGAAGTCTGGACTTGGCCTCGTCGGCAAACACCACGTTCACGGAAGGCCAGAAGGCGGCTGGAAAGGACGACTTCACCAAGATCCCGCACGGACTCAATGGCGTCGAAGACCGCATGTCCGTCGTCTGGGAACGAGGCGTGTCGGCGGGCAAAATGGATCCCTGTCGTTTCGTCGCCGTCACTTCCGCCAACGCGGCCAAAATTTTCAATCTGTATCCGCAAAAGGTGAATACAAAGAAAGGCATTTATATTTGCCAATAGTGCGTGTCCTTGTAATATATTAGAGGGCAAATATTGATTGATTGATTGATTAATCAGCAAGCTTTATTTTCTGCTTTTCAGCATTCACAAGGCTTAATAAGCTGAACATGTATATCCGAACATGTACATCCCAAAAAGTACAATTGCAAAACATGATGTAAATGCATACGCTTTCTTATTCCCCTCCCCAATGTCAAGAAGAAAATATCATTCATGAGAATTGCAGCATAAATAGGCAATTACTGAACCCAAATGAAACCACAAGGTGTTCAGCCTGCTCCCAGATACGTTTTAGTTCCTTAAACAATTTGGAGAGGATCTTTGATGAAAAATCATATAAGGTTAGCCATTTATCTTGGTCCTCCATGCTTTTTGAAAGAGTTTTCTCATTGAGTTTCATGAGTCCATATTTTTTTAAGGTCATTCCTGAAGGTAAATGTGAAAAGGATTGATTATTTCCTGGGATGCAAGCGCCAGTGATGATTGTGATTGCGCTTTTAGTCTAGGTGTAGATGTCACTGGCAGTTGAAATGTGGGAGAAGCCGATAATATCACCGCAGAAAATGAAGTTACTTGCATATCTTGAGTTGCTCTAAAAGCCAAATCCGCAGCTAGAATTACAGTAGGGTCCCAAGATGCGGACATAATCCCAATATCAAGATCTGAATGCTAGACTTTTCTACTGCGGTTTCATTTTTTGCTATGTCGACTATATTGTACATCGTTATGAACGCGGTAATTCTCGCCGTTTTGTGACGACAGCGAGAAACCAACTGAAAATTCCGTATAAATTTTTTGGAAATAACGGAAATAATTTTTCGAATCACCTCATTAATGCGTGCTTTTTTTGATCATCCGTTCCGATTTTTCCAACTACAGGGTTGCATAGCCGTGGGGTCTGATGCTGATGTGGTTGTGTGGAACCCGAACCGCACCCGTCAGATCAACGCCAAGACCCATCAGCAGGCTGCGGATTTCAACGTCTTTGAGGTATATAATCACTGTATGCACTCGCGTACCATGAAATGAATACACTCCACTCTATATAGTGCCAGATTTTATTCCCGCAGATGTCAGATGTTTATTCGTCATGTGTTCTTTTCCAGTCACTGAACACAGTGGTCCCCAACCTTTTTGGGCCCGTGGATCAGCAAATTTCCATAAAAATTTTTGCAGCCTAGGAAAGTTTTATAAAATTGTTACAGACCAGCAGACATTTTAAAAGACAATATCTGCCACAAACTTTTCTGACCAAACCCTTAATTGAAAAAATGAAGTGGAGAACCAATATGAAGCCACTTTATATAGTCGAATGTCTTCAAAGAATTGAAAAGCTTGGCTTCAAGAAATGTTTCTCAGAATGAGTGCAGTCAATCCCTGCCCATCATTGGATTTGATTTTTGCAACAGACAAGTCTGTTATGCAAATTCAATTATCATAAAAATAATGTTTTCACTTTTTACCAATACTTTTCAACCAACAGAAGTCTGTTAGGCAGATTTTGTCCATTGGGCAGGAAGAAAAACTCCCTCCTGCAGAGGCAGTCTGTTAGGCAAAAATCCCTTAGGCTGGAGGTCTGTTGGGCAGGGGTTGTTTGTACTTGAAATAATGTATTGCAACATTGTGGATTTGTTTGAAGTTACCAGGAAGAGAGCCAACTTTTATTTTCATCAGATACAGTCAACCCCTGCACAACAGATTTTTGCACAACACACTGCCTCTGGAGGCCATCTTACTCATCCTGCACAACAGACTAAATCTGCATAACAGTCTTCTGTTGGTTTGAAATCAATGGTGAAAAGGGAAAATTTTAATTTTCAAGAATTGAATTTGCATAACACACTTTTCACACAACAGACTAGTCTGTTGCACAAATTACGTCCATTGTGTGGGGGTTGACTGTCATTTCAACTGCCATGGGTCTTTCCAAAATTAAATAAAAACAGATTTCTATACAGTACTGCCTTTGATAAATTTATCATGCTGAACAAATTACCCGTTTACCAGCATAAAATGTCTGTGGAGTGTGGACCAGTGGCAGTCTACAGACGCTATGTTTTTTAAGGGTGAATGTTTATAAATTGCTGACAATTTTTAGATCACTAGCATTTCTCAAGCATACAAACCCTTTTTTAACATGAGTATTGCTGGGCTCATTTTTTCCATGTAACCGCCCCCCCCCCCCTCCTCCCACCATCTTTCCCAACATAAGAATAATTTTTGAAAGAGATGATTTTCAGGTGAACTTTGAAGAATTTTTGTGCTTGATTCCACCTTATGTCCCAATAAGAACCAGTCACCAGTCACATTTGAAACGGGAAATGTGAGAGTGTGCCTACCTCTATTATGGATTTTTCATCAAGAAATCGTAGAATGTTCCTCAAAAAAGTTTGTTGTTATGGAATTGGCAGTTTGTTGTAATGAGATTTTTATAACATGAACCCTACAGGATTTTAAAAAGTTTGTTATACTGAAAAATTTGTTGTAATGGTATTTGTTGTAACAAGATTTTACCATATTTGTATGTTTAGTGTAGGAGTCAATTGCTCTATGCGTTTGTCTCTTATATATACAGTATATTTATATATATATATATATATATATTTTTTTTTTTTCATGCAAATATAGGGAATGATTTGCCACGGGGTGCCCGAGTACGTGGTTGCAGGAGGACGCGTTGTTCTGGACGAAGGAGAGTTGCGAGTTAGTCAAGGTGCAGGACGTTTCATCGCCACTCCGCCTTACTCGCCGCACATTTATCTCAGAGTTCACGAGCGCGAAAAGGTACGAAATCTTTATTATTATTATTTGTTTCTGCTGTGCTGTAAGAATGTGTAGTTATTTTCTCTTTCGGGTGTGAGTCGTTTCCGTCATATATTCGAAGAAAACGGATGACGGAAGTTCTTGTCCGCATCTTCATCATCAAGAGTACAGTCCAACCTCTTGGAGTCGAATTTCAAGAGACCAGCTTTAGAATTTGAATTGACCCAGGTTTTGAGGGAGGGAAATCAGCATTATTTTGGGTGAGGGGAGAGAAGATAAAGAAAAATTGCTAGAAACTTAGATTGCTGATATCCTGGGCCTTGAATGAGTTGGCAGGATGAAGAACTTATTGGAGTTGCAGATTTCATTTGCCAAAGTTATTGTCTTCCACTTTCTTTCAAAACACATCAAGAGGTATACTCAGTTTTAGTTTTTTTTTCTCTTCACAGTGTCAATAAATGATATCCGAAAGGTCTCCAGGAAATTGGAGTTCTATGGATGTTTGAGAGAGAGAAAGCCTTTCATTTAGGGAGGCTTAATTGGTACTTGAACATTTCCAAGGGTCGTTGATCAAAAATTTTGAGTAAATTGAGCACATTTTTTTCAACTTTCAGAATTCATTGCAATTTTTTTTATCAGATTGCTGTTTGTGAAACCAATCATAGAAAATGTGGGTATGCCAGAACAGTGTTATCCCAAACTGTAGGATATGATAAGAAACACAAGATTAAACTTTGAATGTCTTCTTTGCGTAGTAACCCATTATTATAATCTGATGTTTTCTTGTTGGAACAACTTAAGTAAAGAAGTACTAGTCTTTATGGCTGGAGTAAAGCAAGTAAGTCTACTTGTCTGATAAGTGATCATATATATTTTGTATACTCGCAATACAGTCCAAACCAGCAATGAGCGCCAAAAGAGTGTTTGGACACTCCTTTATAGATTCCAGATGCGCAAGACAGGTGACTGACCACGCATGAACAGAAAGCATAGAAAGGAAGCTGGGACACGTCAATGACCAGTCACCAGACAATGTTGCAATGTTCTGGTATGCCAATTCCGGTGCATTGCTAGGCAGACCACAGAGCACAAAAGTCAGAATGAGAATGGGGTATTCATAGCCTGCTCTGGGACTCACTAAAGATATGATGACAACAGCAAAATCTTATTGACAATAGATCAATGTGAACATTTTTCCAATCATTCATTCATTTTGAAAGACTCTAGCTATAATTAATTATTCATCACAGTGTAAAAGAGAGGGAGAGAAGTTTTTATAAGGCCCTGAAAGTTCATTGTAAAGAGATGTTACTGTATGTCCTTCAGTATAGCAAAGGGAAATTATTTTAGCATGGAATTCAGAAAATCTTGGGCGTATTCCGGATTGTGGAATAAAAGTTGTTCAAGTTTATTATTTCTTCTTTTCTTCCCGCCTGAATGAATCATTATCAGGTGCGATTCCCGCGGAAAGTCGACAGAGACGCCTACGAGCCCGGAGCGCCGCCGGTGAGCAGCATCAAGTCCGTGATGGAACCGGCGCCGTTTGTGGCGTCCGTCACTAGCAATAATGGAGCAACGTCGCCTTCCAGCAACGGTCATCATCATCATCATCATCACGCCAACGGGAACGGAAGTGTCGTCGGAGAGGTGACCTCTGGCGTCAATGGCCTGAGCTTGACCAACGGCGGTGGCGGCAGTCGCAAGGTGTCGGGCGAGTACAAGTCGCCGCCGGGGTCGGCTAATTCCGCGCAGGGCGACGGATTCCATCTGCGAGGCGCCACTGCTGCTGGCAGCATCAACATGCAGGACTCTACTTTCTCGGTTTCCGGTGAGGCTCTTAGCTATTGTATAACTCTCGACTCTCTATATATATATATTGCAGTCGGGGGCCCCGACATGAGGACAATCTGTGGGAAACAAATGTGAATTTCACAAAAATCTTTGAAAATTGTTTGAAGTTCAAATGGCTCAAGACAGCGTTCCCCAACCTTTTTGGACCCGCAGACCTGCGAATTGTCACAATTTTTTTTTTTTTGCGGACTGGCAAATTTCCCCAACATTTTCTGTAGACTGGCAAAGTTATGTAACCTTTTTGCAGAAAGCTTTATGGCAAGCATTTGAAAAGTCGATGCTTATTTGCAAAAATTAAGATCCAATGAAGCAGGCATATATAGTGGAATGTTTTCAACAACAAAAATTAGAAAGGTGGGCTTGAAGAGAAGGTTTCTCAGGATGAGAAAATTGAAATAATTTATTTCAGCATGTGAATATTTTTCTGAAGTGCAATTAAGAGAAATGCCAACTTGTGTTTTCTTCTAAAAATTTCAAGTACCATTTGTTTCTCTTGCTCGTAAAACTGAGCAGGACAGGAAACCTTGGATGATTTTTCAAGGATATAGAATACATTTATTGAGGATCTTGTTGAAAACAAAATGGGATCCTCCATGCGTAAACTCAAGCTTGTGTAATTCTTTTCAATTATGCAATGCATGGGATTTTTAAAAATCCTGATCAGTTTAGCTGGACCATTTTTTGTCGAAATGAAATAAATATTCTTGCTGGAAATCCGCACAGAAACTAAAGAGCTGAATTTCGGAGTGAAAGTGATTGAATATGGAACTGTATCAATTGAGGTAATTTTCCCTGAAAACTGATTTATTATTATCAATTTCAGGCGCGCAAATTGACGACGACACCCCGAGGCGCTCTACGATCAAAGTTCACAATCCACCAGGAGGGAAATCGTCTGGCGGCTTCTGGTGAACACCATTGATGGAGAACACATGATCCTGATGATGGGAAGCTGATACGGAAGACCTTCTTCTCTCATTTTTGCAGACGAGAGGCTCGCATTTTTGTTTTAGATTCTTTCCTTTTTCGAGTCCAAGTTTTGATCAGATATTTCCTTTTGTTTTCCGGCATGTCGAAATCAACTTTCTCTTGAGCGTCGAATTCAGCACATGTGTATCATGAAAGCTTTTTAGATCAGCGTTCGCAGCTAAAAGAAACCATGCAATTTTTTTTTGGGTGGAAAAGCCTAGTCGATAACATAAAAAAAAGAACAAATCGGAAAAAAGGAAGGAAAAAAATCTTATGCGGAAAATTTTCTTTTTATTTTGTACATATAAGGAGGAAAAGTAACTGAAGCTGTTTTATTGGTGCAGCTGTAAATTTTCCAAGCCTGCTCCTGGTCTCGGTTTTGCAAAAAGAAAAAGAGAAGAAAAATTTGCGTTTCGTTATATTTGATCCTAACTCACGCGTTTTAAAACAAGAAATGTTTGACCGACAAGTTTGGCAAATATTTCGCGTATGTTTTCGTTGTTGAAGAAAAATTTCAAAAGAGGACGTTGTTGCGTTTCGTTCCATCACTTTCAAATTTTGTGTGTTTTTTTTGTGCATGTTTTTCGAAAAGTTTCGTCGTTGTCGGACGAGTAATTTGTTTCTTCCCTCTTGTTTTGTTTTGTTTTTTTATTCCGATTCGGTTGACTGATGATTCGATGACCAATCGAAAAAAAAAAATATTTGATCAGTGCTGTTGCTGGAGGTTCTCCTTCGAATTGCAAACACTTTTTTCTGTGCGCAAATTATTCGGAGATTGCTTGCTTATAATTAACTCGCCTTTTGTCCTTTCTTCGGAATCGCAACTGAGGAGAATTTCAAGAACTTCATCCTGCGGCTGAAATACAATATGTTCCTGGAATTTATTACAATTTTGATGTGCCTCATTTTTGAAANGTGCAGGGGTTTCATAGCCATAGTTTGATGGGGGTGGGGGTGGTTTGGCTATTGGTGAAGGTTGCTTGACTGATGGTGTTGGGTGCTTTGGTGCTGGGGTGTCATAACCATAGTTTGATGGAGGTGGAGGTGGTTTAGGTACTAGTTTAGGGTGTTTTGGTGCTGGGATTTCATAATCATAGCTTGAAAGTGGAGGTGGATTTTCCACTGGGATAGGGCGCATATGTGGATGCCTTGGTCCTGTAATGTCATATTCATAACTTGGTGCACCATACTCATAACTTGGAGTCTTCTGTGTTGTACTGGTGGTAGTTGTGGTGGTTGTGGGGTTACAGGGAGCAGGGGTAGATGGTTTTGGCTTTGGTGGAGGTGGCTTCCTCACTCCATGGTATGGTTGCTGCCATGCAAGTTTTAGCAACTTCCAAAAGGTCTTTTTGCCATGTTTCTTATCATATTTAGTTCTTGGTCTGTAGTCATATTGCAGAGAAAGAGCAGGAAAAGGCTCATCCACATGCTGGTACAACCATGGGTGATGGTGCAAAGGCAGTGTGAAAGGGTCATCCACCACTTGCCAATAAGTCTTTGGTGGTGGAATTGTGGGGAATCCATCTGGAATCTGGGCCAACTTGACAGGTTTTGCTGGTGGTGGTGGTGGAGGAGGAGGTGGTGGTGGTGGTGGTGGAGGTGGAGGAGCTTGTGTGGTGCTTGGGGGAGGCTGTCTGTAGCCATAGTTTCCATAGTCCTGTTAAAAAAAAACATAAAATTCAGCTTATACTGTATTCACTCAAGTACCACATGCCGTCTATGAGGAGCGCACCCCCATTTTTGCAGGTCAAATTTGTCCAAAAACCTAACTCCTTGTTCAAGACCCATATCCCAGTTTTTATTGGCAGAAAATGTCCATAAAACTTGATATTTTGTCATTCCTGCTTGTCATCATCTACATTTAGCAGTAAATATGTGCTTGCATTTAACCCTTGCGCAAAAAAGTTGGGATATTTTGCAAAATTTTGTGCCACTGAGCACTAGAAATTAAAATAATCCTACTTTTGTACCAAGGCCTAAGTTTGGAAAAACTCCAATATTTTTTTAATAATCCTGCAGAGAATTTTAAATGAAAAATAATAAAAAGAATCCCACAATGGGTGGCATTCTTTCCTGCATGCCAGAAATAGGATTTGCATGGAGGAATCCTGAAAACAATAAAAAATTGGCCTCCCACATTTTCCCCAACTTGGGACTTCTCAGCCTGCTATGGGAGCATTCCAGTGACCTTGGTCAAACTAAAATACACCACATCCAAAAAAATCCCAACAACACCAAATAACAAAAAATAACCCTCTGCTGTCCAAGGGTTAAGGGCAGCTTCCTCCATTAGATAAAAATGTTCCCAAGTCTTCATATTCTGTTGCATCTCCAACTGATGAGGTTATTGGAGAAACAATTTATCCTAGTAATCTTCCTATACTGTTGTTATAGCTTCAACAATTAATTTCTTCTGCAAATAAGGAGACTTGGTGCAACACATTTTCTTTTCATTGTTCTCCTAAACTTATCCAGATGTGACAAACACCATTTTTGGAATTATTTCCTAAGAAAAAGTCATCCCTGAGTATCATGCACACCCTATTTTTGCTTTTCGATTTCTTATGAAAAAGATGCGCAAGGTACTTGAGTGAATAAGGTTAATATCTGCATCATTGTTGAAGTTTATGTATCTGAATACTGTAAAATCTTGCTACAACAAACTTTTGGGACCACAGAAAAAGTTTGTTATAACAAATTAGTTGTAAAAAAATTTTAAATATTAATGACTGGAAAAATGTTTTCAGCTCAGATCTGCATATACAGTAACACTCTCTGAAATAAATAAAGAAATGTCTCACCTCTGCATCACTGCTGAAATGTTGGTGAAAGTGACCATGATGATGTCCCTTATTTTTTCTGAATTTATTGCGATGACCCCTGTGACCCTGCTTGAACCTGCCTCTAAATGGCTTTTGATGGTGACCATGATTGTGAAATTTGCCATGAAACTTGTTGTGATACCGGGGCTTGTATTTGTAATAGTGGAGATCTCTGGGTCCTTCAAGTTCTTTGGGTCTTGGTGCCTCTGTTGGTTTGGGTGTAGTTGTGGTGGTGGTTGGTTTTGCTGTAGTGGTTGTAGTTGTTGTTGTTGTGGGTTTTGCAGGTGCTTGATAATATGGGTAAGATTGTTGATAATAATCATGGCTGGGTTGTTTTGGTGCTGCATAGGCAGGGGCTACAGGAGGAGCTGGGGCTCTCATTACAGCAGAAGGCTTTGGTGCCATTGGAGCAGGTGCTGGTGGTGATTGAGGTCTTATTGGTGCCAGTGGAGCAGGCGATGGAGGCCTTGGTGCAAGTGGAGCTGTTGCTGGAGGAAATGCTGCTGATGATGGAGCCTGGAGAGAAGGTGTTGGATTTTGGGACTCTGAAGCAGCTTTGAAACCTGGGGACAATGCACTTGTTTCTACTGGAGATATGGATTGAACATTCCCTTGAAAGGCTTCTCCATCAGCTGGAAAGTCATATGTTTCATAAGCATAATCCTGTCCAGCTACTTGCTGTTGAGATGAGTAGTCCTGATAGACTGGCTCAGCTTCTTGGGTCTCTTGTATCTCAGGAAGCTGCACTGGTTGAATTCCCATTTCTGGAGCTGCACTTTTAGCAACTGTGGAAATGAATAAAAATTGCTGAGCTTTTTATAAAGAAGAATCTTACAAAATTTGAATGACTGTTTTCTCAGCATAACTTCTTTCTGCTCAATGGACTATAAAGGGTAGTCTTCCCAGCACACCTGTGGTTGTGGGACCATTGCTGGTCCTCAGAAGTTTTTTGCCATTCTGCAGGAAATTTTCTTCAGCATAATACATTTATAAAAAGTACCAATGAAGTCTGCTATTGTTACCTGAAATTTCTGAAAGACAATTGAAATCATCGGACAGAAAAATTTGGCTTTTCTTGTCCTCATAACACTTCAGGCAAATTTTCCTCTGCTGCTGGAATAAGTTATTTTAATATTTCTTTCTAAGAAACCTTCCTTCAGGACTGCTAGGATATTTTTTGAAGATGTTTCACTATATATAGCTGCTTTCCTGGCTTTCAATTTAATATTTGCAATAAGTCAGTAATTTTTTAAAAACCTGTCATGAAGTCTTTCAAGCAAACATTTTTTGAATCTGGAAAAAGGTTTATGACACATTGCAGGTCCACAGAAAAATTGTAGAAAATTTTCCGGTCTGCAGGCCCAAAATGGTTGGGAACACTGTTATAGAGCATGCATTTTTACACTTTGTAGAAATAATTTTCATTAGTTGGAAACCTATTGTATCTGGTATATTGAAAAAATGTAAATTGAAAATCAAATTTCCATAAATCAGATGGATGGAATAAGATGGTTCTAATCATATTTTCTTGTTCACTTTCTGGATCTTAAATGAAGTTTCACAGATCTTGGTTTGCACAATGGTCTAAATTGTTTCCAAATCTCAAGCCCTTATTTCCTTCTTCAAGTATTGGCTTACTTGGCACATCCACTGTCAATGTTGGCAATGGCCTGAATGGGGAATAGTCTATGGCAGGGGCTCTGAACAAAGCCTTGTCAGACTCATTTGTCTTGTTATTGCTTGTTGCTGCTTCATCTCCTCTCATCCCAGCTGGAAATACAAAGGGCTGAGGTTTAATACAATTTTTCTTTGATATATGTGGGGTGAATGGAGAAATTCTTGCACAGGATTGCAAAATGCCGAATCGACTTGTGATTTGAATCAAGAATTGTATGTAAATTTTGGTATGCACTTTCTCTGCTGCATGCTGACTTTACTTAAAGTTCTGCATATATCTTTAAACATGCACTAAAATGTATGAGATACAAAATTACTTCACAATATGCTCTTCCAAAAAAAGGCATGACTATATTGTTTGGGGAGTAACTCGCCTACATATTTCTTCCTTTATGTGACTTGGTTTACCAAAATCACTGAAATATGACATTTTGTTGTCTTTAAATTCAAAATATTGTGAAGTTCATTTCGATTTAGCAGGAATGAAACTTTCAGATTTATACTTTGTGCACTCTAATTGACAGAATCCAATCTCAGGAAATTATACTAATCTTATGTATCCTAAAGAATTCTTGGCCTATAGGCTTACTAAAAGTAGTACCAATAACTTCACATTTACAGTATATTGAAAAATAATAATGTATCAATGACTTTGAACTCTTCTAGTCTTACAAATGCATGTAATAGGCCTAAGAAAATATGAATAAGAACGATCTAAAAAGAACCTTTCTCAATACAAATCAAAGAATTGAAAGATGCCTTGAATTTTTTTAATGAAAGCAGTGGACTGTGATTATTATTATTTTAGAGAATACGGTCTAAAATAATCTCTAGGTAGCAAATTCAAAATTTCCAGGAGTACATGGTATTTTTTACTGTTACTAAAATATCAGGGAAAGTTATACTTTTTGCAAATACTGGATATTCCGGTTTCCGGATCCACAAATATAATGAATCTATGCACAATTGATATTTGTCCAAACTTCCATGAATGAATTTCAAAGTGCAAGATTACTATCTTCAAAAGTTTACATATTAAAAGAAAAATACCAATTAATTTCCCTCGTCCATTATAATCTGTAAGAAAATAAAAATATTTCTTTACGTCTCTTCTATATAAACTTCAAGAATGTCACGTTTGTTTAATTCTTTCGATTTTTAAAAATACTTTCCTGGAAAAAATGACGGGACAAATTTTTGATAAAATTTTCAGTAAGTTTCAAGATATATAAGAAGTTATTACAAATTGGTCTTGTTACTTATTGCGGTTTTCTTTTTCTTTTAATTTCGACAAATAGACATTTATCCATTGGCAGCAGCCTATTTTTTTTTACAGTGAAATGAACGCACGAAACCACGCAAAATGAAACAGCACAAAGACACATTCCAGAAGCAGCAGGTAAGTCGTCTTGCAATAAAAAAACTGCCTTTAATTTCAGCACTCACAGAGGAAATTCAGCAAGAGGATGACAACGGCCGGGGACAACGTTATCATCACGTTCGTAACACCGTAGTCAACTAACTGAAAGATCCGAGTATTATAACAGTATATGGGTTTCGAGTATTTGTGCCCAGTTTATTTTTTTTTGTTTCCGTCTTGTGCCTATTTTGCATGCAGTTCCTTCGCATTATGAATCAAGAGCAGCCACTTTCAATTCTCTTCCGGTCTTCTGAATGTGGGTGTAGAAGCAGCGCATGGGAGCATTGTTCAGGTTGCATATATATGGGTCGCCTTTTTTATATTATCGTGGGAGCATCTTGACATAGTTGGGTACAAAATATAAGTTCCTTTTATACAATTGTATATACAAGAAATGTCCCTTAATTAACGAATTTTTCTTTTCATAACAATTCATTTTTCTTGGGTCAGATCACTCAGATGGCAGTTGTCCATTCATACTTATGAAAATATCATCACATCACATTATAAAAATCTTGTGTGACACTCTGACACCACATTATAAAAATCTTGCTCTATAATGTACTCATTTCAGGCTGTAATCTGATTAAAACAAATGAATGTGTTTGGCCCTGATTCTGTGCATGAGCCAAACAGGGATTATTCAATAAATGTCTTGAAATTGGAAAAATTGAAATGGTGCAGTTCCAGCTTTATTAAGAAGCAAACATTCTGTAGAGATAAAGCAGTGTTGAAAATTACACATGACATGTTCGAAAAATCTTCTGTAAATTATTCTCTAAATTATTTGTAAATCATTCTTTTCTCACTCTCAATTCCTATGCATTATGTAAATTATCTGTTCAAGAAATGTATCTGTTGTACACAAAGAATAGGTAAAAGAGGATTAAAAAGCAATTGATTCCCATTTTATACAGACATTTTGAGCAACGTGAGGCAGAATTTTTGAAGCTCGTTTCACAGTTTTGGAATTCGTTGATTCATAGTTGTACACAAAGAATAGGTAAAAGAGGATTAAAAAGCAATTGATTCCCATTTTATACAGACATTTTGAGCAACGTGAGGCAGAATTTTTGAAGCTCGTTTCACAGTTTTGGAATTCGTTGATTCATTTTTTTGAATTTACTCTCAAGCACAAACTATTATTCAGTTTTAAAACAGGCCAGTTCTTAGCAAAATTGACGACTCTGAACATGTAAAGAAATCTTAACTGAAGTTCATAAATGTTTTGGCAATCACCAACAGACTCTGATCAGCAATTCAAGTGTGGAGCAGTATGTGACTCAAAATCGTCGACCTGTGCTGATTTATTCTTGACTGATGGCTGATGTATCATTTAAAATATTATGTGTGACTCGTTCAGCTGAAATGAGTCCAACGTGAGTCCTACACCCAAAGAGAAATTCGATCTTCACGCTTTCAGGGAAGTGCATCAGAATAAATAGTGGATCAAAGATTTTCATCTGCGACACGGATTGAAGCAGAATGTGAGCCATATAATAAAAGGAAGGACGCCACCAAAGTCGGATCCATCCTGAATGGAATTTGGTTTTGGGCGCGAAAATGAGTTGAATTGATAAACACACATTTATTTAAAGAGTTGGTATTGCGGTATGATAATGAAATCAAATTGTATACAGTAGTCTTCATTTCTGTTCGATCGGCAGCTTATTCCTGCTCTTGCTTATATACTGAGCTGATGAAATTTTGCCTGCTGAGGTGTTTTTAATATACGTTTACATCATTTTGTCAGCAGTTTATAGTATCCAAACAATTTTTGTAATCAGCGGCATCCGCTCTATATATTCAATACACAAAACATTTGATGAATCTATACCCTGTGATGTTCAAGCTGCTATTGTTATCATTGCATTGAAAAAAAAAATTCTTAGGGTTTTCCTCAAAGAAAAATAGATTTTATCAGTAAAACACCACAATAAGCTTGGGACTGGCTGATGGAAGCCTCTTCAGCATAAAAATTCCAAGAAATTGGTGTTTATTTTTGTCCCCAAAAAATCAAAAACTCAGCATCTTCTTCAACATAAATACAGAAACACAGTACTGTAATTCCCAAAATTTCTCATGAACTTGGTTGGACATTTTGCAGTGGAAACCTTTCAGGGTAATGAGATACTGATGGATGAGATAATGAGGAAATTATTTCTGGTTTTAATGAGGAAGGCTACTGTTCAACTTGTTCTTTATGTAGGTTGAAATTCTTTGCCGCTATCTGATTCGCCATTTACATTAAAATCAAAGATGACTTGAAGCATCCTTGCACAAGTTTTGAAGATTCTTGGGGCAAGTTCTTTGGTGTTGGGCTCTATAACCCCAGCACTAGTTTTCGGGATGCAGCACAATTATTATAGTGCCACCTGCTGAAGTCCCCAACAACAATTTAGGATATACTGTATAGCACCTACTTTCCCACCAGAAAGAGCCAGGCTATACTTATTTTTTTATGAAGCGCATGCATCTGAATACATTATTTGGCTCCGGCATGAATTAATTACTGAAGGATGTCAAAACATTTTAAAGTTTAAAAGGTGGGCCAAAAAAGCAAACCAAGTTTGACTTGAAATAGCTCAATGGGAAATTGAGCTGTGGCAAAGAAAAACATGACCATTGGAAGCTTGTTCAATTCCCTTTCAAATGTTATTAGTTTTCTGGACCCAACTTCCACAAGGTGCTGGTCACAAGTATATCATTTGAATGAAAACTTTCCATAAAAAAAGTTGTCAGGCAACTCATCCTTTCACTAATCTGCTGTTCTCCATATAGCTGCTTTCAAGAGTAAATGGGGTGCAGGACTTATAAGTTGACCAGCGAACTCCGTGTTGTATTCAAGAGGGTGCACATATATATTAAAGAAGTATGGGGGTGGGAATGGGAAAAAAATTGACCAGCAGGATGTTGCTCCACTCATGAATGCCAATAATGCAAGCATGCTGGGTGCCAGCCTTTTATGGCTCCTTTGACCATCTAACTATGACAGAAAGAATTGCAGCTATGTGAAGGATGAATAGGAAAATAATGAAGCATTCCCCCATGAACTCAAAAAAGTGATTGACATCATCATCTACCATATATAAAGCATTACATACCAAAGAATTACTGTACCAGTAACCCCACTTTTTTTCTTCATGCAAAATCCAGGCAGAAAAAGAGGCGTGCATGGTATATGCAGTCAACAAATTTTAGGACCACAAAATTATGAAATTACTGTATATGGTAGCAGATTATGGTTCCAGAAGTGATTTTAGGTGCAAATCATGGATTTCAAATTCAGTTTGTCTCAAATCCACTTGAAATGATTTATTGTACTGTACTATTAACACTGGGGTACCCGCCTTTTGGGTAGAAATGCATGTTAGGGCAAATTTCATGCCTAAAAACTAAGGTACTGCGCCTCATACTCCTGGGTGTGTGCCACAGTAAATACTGTACACTCAGTACAGTATTTTCATTATTATTTTCACTGATGAAGTACTCATTTGCAGCAGGTACAAGTAAGTACTGTATACAGTAGTTGCATTTTAGTTTTTACACAACATTACTGTATTGTTATTTGCAGTACAGCATTCAAAAACCTCTCCGTAAAGAATACTTTACTGCAATTTTGATTTTGTATAATGTATACGACAACAAACTATGATTTGAATGCAATGAATAGTTATTGGACCTTATCCAAGTCAAAATACTCCCTAGTCAAATTATTTACAGCTCTCAATAATATTGCAATTGCATCCTCATCCAGACCTTGACCTCTTCTCCTTGAAGCTAAACTTTGAGAGGACTTTTGGTCCACTCCGGGAACCCATTTGAAAGGAGCGATAAACATGCACTGTCGCTTGATTCTTCACAAATGAGAAACTAATTGAAAAAAATGTACCCTCACCTCGAAGTTCAAAATCTTTTTTCCTGTGAATTCATTAATCTTGCATTGAAGGTCAAGATCATCAATAATTTTACCTCAACTCATCAATTCCCCACTTAATATGCAGAAAAATGTTCGTTCCCATGACCCCGGTCAATTTGTGTCGTTGCTCCCTCTTAAGCAAGGAAGACTGAAAGAGGCATAAGTGCAGATGATATCGCAAAAAAGGATGGTTTGAAAAAAACTCCCCAACTAAAAAGGTATCATTATATAATGAAGCTCAGCATAAGCGAATTACTAGCAGTTGAGAAAATGGAAGCATTGGGAATATTTTACCAATGCACGTAGAGAATACTGAGCAAATAAATGACACCACTGAAAACTGTGGGTGAAGCTGACTTTATTCACAGATTGACCGGAAGCGATAAAACATTTTTCTCAATACACAGCAAGAAAAAACAACAAACAGCAGCAGTTTCAGGAAACTTCCGCACAACACCAAGCATAAAAAATCCAGCAAGCGCAACATTTAGAAAACATATTTTCACAAATGCGGAAAAAGCAAAAATCGCAACCATTTTTCTTTTTTTGTTTTGTTGAAAGCTTCCTTTCTGATCGACATTCTCCTGGGTCACGTTGTTGTTGATGATATTCAAGCCTCTCAACAACAAAAAATCGTCTCTGATCGGCATTTGGCTGAATAATACAGATCCCGACCGATAGCAACCAGTTCGTACTTGTTGCCGACTTATTTATTCGCTCGTCTACCAGAATCCACCCGATGATTTGCCACCTGGAGGATGATGAAGTTTGATGGCGGTTCTTTGGGCTGAAGTATCTCCATTCTCTGCATAATCTGAAGAAAAATTGCAAACCCGTCAGAATAAAAAAAATTTCAATTCACCCCTACAAGCTAATGGTTGCAATGAAAACTTAAGTTGTCACGCAGATCACGCAAAAATATCCGATCCTAGATTTCGAAACGGACAACACAACTCTTTCCAGAAAATTTTCAACGCAGACAATTTTCGTAAAATTTGCAAGAGGATAGCTCAAGATTTGAAAAACAACCTCGGATTGAAGGTTTTGTTCGCTTTTCTGAAGTCATTCTCGGTCCATAAAATGACAGCAGTATTATTCATTACCGGCACACAATTTCAAAAATTAAACTTCCATGGGGCCCCAACATATGGACAGTTGAAAATAAAAATTTCTGCCCCAACATCCGGACAATATTTCAAGATACACATACGGTATTTCGTCAATATTTCAGGAGGAAAAAATACAGCAGGATCCTCTCCGATAAAATCGTTGGAGAGAATCCCTATAGAATGGGAGGGAAACACCTAAAGTTGAAACAAAATTCAGATACAATTGTTAGATTTTCACGTGTATTATTTTTCAAAATGGTGATACTGCATCTGGAATAAATATCCGTCATTACAATATTATAGAAATAAAATTGAAAATACATTTAACGTATATTATCTGATATGCTTTCAAAATCAGTCAACATGCGATTTTGTGCTTTACTTTCCAACGGTTTTTGAATCAACAGTACGCAGTACAGTAATGTGTGGCCTTCTTTTTGCATTTTAGACTCCCATTGATGCCAAAAGAGCCGATTCTCTGCGCTTTCCTCCCGTCTCTTTTCTTTCAGAATTTCAAAAAGTTTTTTAACTTTTACGAGAACTTTTTCCAATATTTCGCAGAACATGAGAAGTGAATAAAAATGCTTTTCATTGAAGTCTGTAATAAAAATTTGTTTCAATGCATTCCGAGAATTAATTGCATCCACATTTTGGTCTCCCTCTGAATTTTATCGTAGAGGAAATTTGTTTTCTCCTCTAGAAGGCTAAAATATTCAGCGTCTCAAATTCTATTCGCATAAAAAAAATCACAATAAAATATGGTCAAGACAACCCGAGTTTGCAATTTTGCGAAATACTGTATCATCTGAAAGAAGGAAGTTGCCACGTACCACCGCCACCACCTGGAACAGCAGGAGGCGATTTCGCAGACGAAGATCCGTTGGAAACTGGAGAAGGCGACGCCTCGGCTGCCACAGCAGCTGGCGGAGTGCTGACAACCGGCATCAACAACAAAAAATCGTCTCTGATCGGCATTTGGCTGAATAATACAGATCCCGACCGATAGCAACCAGTTCGTACTTGTTGCCGACTTATTTATTCGCTCGTCTACCAGAATCCACCCGATGATTTGCCACCTGGAGGATGATGAAGTTTGATGGCGGTTCTTTGGGCTGAAGTATCTCCATTCTCTGCATAATCTGAAGAAAAATTGCAAACCCGTCAGAATAAAAAAAATTTTAATTCACCGCTAGAAGCTAATGGTTGCAATCAATACAAAACTTCACGCCGGCCGCGCAAAAATTTCCGATCCTAGATTTCGAAAAGGACAACACAACCCTTTCCAGAAAAATTTCAAACGCAGAGAAAATTTCGTAAAACTTGCGAAAGAATAGCTCAAGATAAAAAAAAAACCTCGGATTGAAGTTTTGTTCATTTTTCCGAAGTCATTCCCGGTGCATAAAATGACAGCAGTATTATTTATTACCGGCACACAATTTCAAAAAGTAAACTTCCATGGGGCCCCAACATATGGACAGTTGAAAATAAAAATTTCTGCCCCAACATCCGGACAATATTTCAAGATACAGATACGGTATTTCGTCAATATTTCAGGAGGAAAAAATATAGCAGGATCCTCTCTGATAAAATCGTTGGAGAGAATCCCTATAGAATGGGAGGGAAACACCTATGGAATGAAACAAAATTCAAAATTCAGGTACAATTGTTAGATTTTCACGTTTATTATTTTTCAGAATTGTGATACTGCATCTGGAATAAATTCTGTTATTAGAGTACTGTATTATAGAATAAAATTGAAAGTGCATATAACGTATATCATCTGATATGCTTTCAAAATCAGTCAACATGCGAATTTTTGCTTTACTTTCCAACGGTTTTTGAATCAACAGTATGCAGTACAGTAATGTGCGGCCTTCTTTTTGCATTTTAGACTCCTATTAATGCCAAAAGAGCCGATTCTCTGCGCTTTTTTTACGTCTCTTTTCTTTTAGAATTTGAAAAACAGTTTGAACTTTTTCCGATTTGTCGCCGAACATCAGAAGTGAATCAAAATGCTTTTCATTGAAATCGGTAATAAAATTTGTTTCAACGCACTCCGAGAAGTAATTGCATACTCATTTTGGTCTCCCGCTGAATTTTATGGTAGAGGAAATTTGTTTTCTCCTCTAGAAGGCTAAAATATTCGGCGGCTCAAACTCTATTCGCATAAAAAAAATCACAAAAATATGGTCAAGACAACCCGAGTTTGCAATTTTGCGAAATACTGTGTCATCTAGAAGAAGAAAGTTGCCACGTACCACCGCCACCACCTGGAACAGCAGGAGGCGATTTCGCAGACGAAGATCCGTTGGAAACTGGAGAAGGCGACGCCTCGGCTGCCACAGCAGCTGGCGGAGTGCTGACAACCGGCGACGGCGGTTTCACGTCATCGACAGACATTCGCTCCATGGGCAAGTACTCCACGTCACCTCCGTCTCTGTTCACCGGCGACGCTCGAACCTGTCACGTCGAGGAGAAAAAAAGAGAAAGGTTTTCACTTTCATTCCGCGAGTGAAAAGTGGTGCAATGAAAACATGCCACGGGATTTCAGAAGAAATGGAACTGGGTCGTGTAGATATAAGAGTGAATTCGTCATATCGCTGAATATACCGTAGGTGAAGTCAAACCTCTTTCCGTCAAACTTCAAGGGACCAGCAAAAAAAATTTGAGTTCAAACAAGAATTTCCTTCCAGAAACAGAAGAATTGAAGGAAACTGTACTCGGTGATATTCTGGGCATTAAAATGCTTCTTGAATGAGTTGAAAAGATACTGAACCCAGAGGCAAGTGCTCATGTGTCCAATTACTCTCCCGATTCCTTTCAACACGCAAGTTTCAATTTTTATTGCTGTTCTATTTCCTGTGTCAATAAAATAATGGCCGAAGTCCTCGAGGAAATTTGAGTTATTGCGGTTCAAGGAGGAAAGCCTTTGAGCTGGGAAGGTCTTTAAAGAATTTTTTCCAAGGAGATTCAGACAGGCACTCGAAACAACTTGACATACGAGGGTTCTAACAAAAGTTCTCGGAGTAGCAATTAAAATTGCCTACAGCTGACCTGAAACCAATTTTTTCTTTAGGGAAAACATATTCTCATCAACAGCCGCCACATTGGCCGCCACTTTGACGGCTGTGAAGGCCGCTCTTGATGAAAATGGCGGAATTGCTTCGGATGACCCGGAGGCAACCCTTAGAAAGAATGTCAAGTTGCTTTCAAAAATTCTGAGGGGAAAGCTGGGCTTCAACAAAAAAAGGGCGCCTCATCTTTTGAGTGGAGAGCAAAACTCTGCCAGGATGAATTATGGAAAAAAATTAGCCAAAGAATATGTTTTCCCTAAAGAATAAATGGGTTTCAGGTCAACTGTAGGCCATTTTCATTGCTACTCCGAGAACTTTTGTTAAAACCCTCGTACGGAGGTACAGTATTCGACTTATTGACTATTGTATATACAACGCATATTCTTTTTTTTTTTTTTTTTACATCCGATAGTTTGTTAAAACGACTAGTATTTACAGCTCAATAATTTTCCAAGCTAATAAATACTTCTCGCCTAAATTTCAGAAAACAATGCAGCCTTTTTAATCAGCCTGAGTTGGATCACTTCACATCCGAAGATTACTTGGTCAGGTTACCGACTCTGACTCCGGCGGCACTCGAAAACCAGGATTCGGTGCCAGAAACATCAATTAATTGCAAGGGTTCAGTGGGACGGTTCATCAGTCTCAGGTCACTTCGACTGATGGGAAAATTCCTTTATCGTCAAGCATACATTGCCAACGAAAAAAATTTTAGCGCTGCCGCTCTTCAAATAGACGGAGGAGTTTGCTTTGATTTTCATGCGCAGTACCCATTTCTTGTGTACACGTTCTGAAATTTCTCATCGATACAGTTTTCCATTTGGCCAATTTCATCACCAGCTCATTCAAGACACTAGATGCATATTTACAGTATTTTACATTGAAGGTTTGCATCGGAATAAGACATGAATTCATCAAAAATGTCTGTAATTCAAGCTCGAGCCCTTAGAATATGTAACCAACTGCCGATTCCGCCACTTTTCATGACACGGCGTTAATTATTACGAAAACTAGCCATATTTTCGAACTGTTCGCTGCTCAAGACGATGATGTCAACCAAATTTTGTTGAGATCTTTCCTCACAATCTTCAGTGATGTTTCCCTGGCGACTGTTTTTGATACAGTCTCTGGACGACATACTGTATTGCATTCTCGGATTACGCTCAACTCTAAATTTCAGAAGTGTTTTACTCAAAAATAAAGACCTTCCTCTATTCAATAATACGATAAGAAAAAAACGTCCCTTCATTGAAACAACGCGATGAGGTCCTACTCACCCTGTCGCGTTCCTGAATCTTCATGTAAACATAGGGAGCATTCGCAGGAGTCGGCACAAAGCGACCAGAACCAGCAGGAACGTCCAAAAGCTTCCCATTCTCGACAACCAATCTTCCGCCAGCGATGACGTGCTCGGCTACTCCACGACACGTCATGCCCTGAAAGTATACAATCCGTTCATATTAAAATCACCGTCAAACAAAACAATAATCGTTGACTTTTTCAAGAACACCGTACTTCGAAAATGTTGAAATCAACGGCTTGATGATGAGTCTTGGCAGAGATCGTGCGCGAATGGTTCGGATTCCAAATGACGATATCGGCGTCAGATCCAACGGCAATGGCACCCTGAGGAAATTTGGTAGAGAAATTAAAACACTTGACACCGAAACCATACCGTGTCCACAGCACAAAGATCCCTTATCAAAAAGTTCCTCATGCGGAGAGACACACAAAATACAGGCATTGGAATTTAAAATTCTTTGGAAATATGCCACGATTCTCGATGAAAATAATCACTTTCCGATGGACAGGTGCGAACAAGTCAAATTCGAACAACTCTGACATGAAACAGTAGAAGTGCGCATATTCTCACAGAAGTCACTAAAACTTGATAAGACTTCGGCAGAACATTTAATTTGAATTTGTGAATGCCAGTGACATATTCAGTACACTTCCACACAATACATTTTTATGAAGCGGGGAACATGATGGCGCATTACCTGAATGACAAAATTATGGTATTACAAAAGACTAACTCTTTCAACACACACGGAATAAATGGGCCGAAAAACAGATACACGTGGGATCCCGAAATACGGACGATTCGACTTGGGGACACTTGAAACTCCAAGAATCTGTTCCCGACTTCCAGAAAATGTGTCAAGATACGGACACACTTTTCCAACATTTCCAGAAAAATGAAAACATTCAATTTTTCATAATTTGGATATCTCGTGCACAAATTCAGCTATTTATAGTCACAGAAATTGAAAATAAATTCCATTATGAATTCACTCAAACTCAAAATTAAAACAGGATAATTTTGGGCTTTTTCGAGTTCCACCCCTCATTATGGTTTAGCGAAAATTGCACTCTTCTCGCCAGAAGATCAGATTTTGTGTGGTTTCCTCCTGCACATATTTTTTCTCCATCTCAAAGTTCATGTAAAACATTTTATTACATTTTTGGGGACTTCTTCCAAATTTTTCATAAAACAGGAGAACCATTTAAATATTAAATTTCAAGGGAGAAAGTGATCCGACATGCGGACAATTCAAAACAGGGAAAAGGTTAAGCAGCCAAAACACACGTAAAACATTTATCAAACGAATGTAACCTTTCTCGGGTAGATATTGAAGATTCGAGCAGCGTTGGTGGAAGTGACAGCGACGAAACGACAGGGATCCATTTTCCCACTCGCAACTCCCTTTTCCCACACCACAGACATGCGATCTTCCACACCGTTCACACCATTAGGAATCTTGGCGAAATTGCTTTTCCCCAAAGCTTTCTGGTCGCTGCTGAAGGTGCAATTGTCCGTTCCTGTCAGCTCCAGAATCCCACTGAAAACCCCCGAACGAAACACCGTTCAATAAAAATGAAAAAAAAATCGGGATTCAGTTTTCGTCTCAATCACAAACCGGACAAAGATATTGCGACAAAGCAAGCATACGTTGATAGAAGTTTCCGTTACTTCGCGATATTGGGTCTTCAAATTGATACAAGTTGTATTCATACAGAATTTTCAAAACAGATCACTCCGCGAAATGAACACTCACTTTTTTTCGCTCCACGTACTTTCAAGACATGAATAATTGAACTCGTCGAACTTGAAAAAAAAATTGACTTCAAGTTACCTTTCTTAATACAGTAGCTCAATCTTATTACCATGCCTTTCCTAGAGAAATGTTTGAAAATCCATTTGAAAATTACGCTACGACCGACACGTTAGTCGTTCAGTCAAGAAAAGCAGAAACATTGCATTATTCACAATGGAGGGGGAAAGAATGTGGAACATACATTGCTGACGGAATGACAACAAAGCACTGAACTTCGCCTTTTTTAGCGTAATGGAATTTAAAATACTGTACCCTCAACTGAGCATTGTTAACATGATACCTCTGTTCCAAAAAATAGCTTCCAGTTCTGAAAATCAAGGGAAACGGTAAAATTCCATTACAGTACAATATAACCATACGAATCTCGTAACGAATTTTTCTTGGTCCCAGCAAATCCTCCACATGGACAACGGTTTTCAAAATATCCTTCATAGCGAAATTATTTTTCCCTCATAATCCAAGTTTAGCGAATTTTTGGCTTGGTTGTACTTCATCAAAATTCAGTCGAAAATTCAGGCAATTCTTCACTTATATGTCGTGTGAGTCCTTTAAAACATCTATTACTTGTTCCCCCACAGAATTTCAGCCCTACATGCATAAAAAACCATTAATCTCGCAAGAACGAATTTTTCCTACGGTTCCTGCGAGTTACTTCCAACCAAATTTTAATACAGTACATGACAATGCTCTACTGATACTCGCTGAAGCGTTTCACTTCGTTATCAAAAACAAACTTTTGCAGTTGACCCGCAAGTGCAAGAGAAATGATTCATCCGGAAAAGGCACAATGCATGGTTTTTCTGACCTGCTGAGCAGATCCATGAGGTAACCCGGGGTCGTGGGATCGGGTCGCAGAGGTGGGCTGAGCACGTGAGCTGCGGCGTGTCTCCAGCACCGGTTCCAATAATGGGTTCCATCCGTTCCCAGGGACGCCGCAATGGGTTCCCCGAACAACACGGCGCCTTGCTTCCGTTTCTCAGCTATCACATCCGCCGCTGACTTGCTCATCACATGCACCACATACAAGGGGCAATTCACCTGGTGAAAACGCATGGGTGAAACACACGAGCCATCAAGAAAACGGTATCAAACAGAAACATGCAGTTTTTCTTCTTGAAAAAAAAAATTCCCACCAGTGTTTCCTTCAATTTGAAATATTACTGAAGAAAAAAAACTACGATCGAAAATTCGAAACACAAAGCGTTCGAACAGCGACCCGAAAGCTCCCAAGCTAAACCATTTTTTTTGAACAGTCCAAAATTTCGACAGATTGAGAATTCCATCAGCAAATTTTTCACAAGATCAGTTTATTCAATCAAGCCAATAAAAGATCACGAAAAAAAACTTGACGATAGGAGATAAATTCAATCAATGGCTACAAAAAAAAAAAAAATAGCAGCACTTTACAGCAGTTATGATTAAGATTACAGTTTCTTTCATATCCATTACTGGAAATCTACTTCAGAGATTTGAAGACATGCCTGAATAAATGGAAGTTTTTTCAGTGCTGGACATAGGAGTGTTACTACTGTTTACAAGTCAGAAATTGTGAAATTCCTCACTATACAGCGACTTTTTCAAAATCATACGGCTCTAACGAAAAGCCGTTTTTTCCGAGCATTTCTAATTTCTGAAAATACGTGACAAAGAAATATGTACCATTGAACATCTTCGAGTGAAATTGCAAGGGATCAGCAAGAATTTCTACGATACTTTCGGGGGTTTCGAGTTGATGGAACCGACATTCTGGCTTCGGAAAAATAGAGAAGGAACGCAACTTCAATTAATGATCTTTCAAGGCCAAAACTGCCTGGTAAACAAGTTTACAGGATGCTTAACCAGAAATCAATGGTTCATTTGAAAAATTATTCTTACACTTCCTTTAAAAAACATCAACTTATGTTTCGATTGCTACGGTATTATGTCTCCTGAAGTCCTGGATCACCGGAATAATATTCAAAATGTCTCAAGAAAATTCTTGTCATTGAGGTTTGAGGAAGAAACCTTCGGGTTTGGGAGGTTATTAATTCATTGTTCAGACTTGAATTCAGACAGGAACTTGAAAAAAATTTTCTACATGGGGAGGTATTCGTCTCGGAGAGCTTCAACATTACCATAAACTTCCCGAAACCGCTACAAAATATGGACGACATCGACTCGAAGATTTTTTTATGGGATTCAGCATTCATAAAAAAGATTTTGAAAAACCCAGATAATCTCAAAGACGACGATAAAGTCAAATTTAATCACCTGGTTTGCAATGGTAGCAGCACGTGTGACGGCCTCAGCTTCAACTTCCTCAGGTCTACTCAAGGCGTGACCTTCTGGTCCAGTAACACCAGCTTGTATCAACTGCTTCGAGTTCTGCACACAAACGATTCGATATTTTCATCATGGCAACAGTTCGTGCGCCCATAAATTTTGCTTAATATGTCATTCAAAGTTTCTTCAAAAAATAAATTTGACGAAATTGCCACGCGGCGGAATCCAATCTCAAAGACGATTGAAAAAATGAATTTTGGAAGATGGGTGATTAGATCTCGGACAGCTTGAAAATAGCCAAACATCCGAAAATTTTGTAGTTGCAATATCCAAATTGGAAACCTAAAACGTTGCTAGGAAAATGTCGCCCACACACACACATCAACATTCCGGATGTCATGCCACAAAAATGAACACAGTAAAATTCCTTCACAACGAATCTGGTAACAACGAATTTTTTTCTTGGTCCGGTAAGTTTATCCATAGGTTCCATGTAATGAAAATCTTGTTCAACAAAAATATTTTAGGTTGTAATCTTAGGAGTCAGGACAACAAACTTTTGGCTGCGACTTAAAGCCAATAGAAGTTTTTCATGTATGGCAGAAATATGAAAAATTCAACCGGTGCGGGATTCCAAGCTCATCAAAAGAGCGAACATTCGTGTGTTATAAAAATACAGATCACAAAATATTTCTGTGTGGCTGGGCACTAACCCCTAGTGACTAAATAAGTTGATGTGGAAGGAAATATTTGTCCCACATGTACTTTCAATTCCTTTTTTTTCAAGAAAAATGGCACATCAGCGTGGAAATGCACGTCCAATGAAAGGAAAGTACTGTATATTCAAAAATGTTCTTTTCATTAGAGAGACTTGATAAAACTGACGAATCTCAAATTATCAGTTCTAGAAGCACTTTACAGTAGTCACACCTATTTCCCTACAAAATACCAGTCTAAAATGTGTTCAAATCCATGTATCTTGATACAAAAAATTTCTTCATCCAGTCACTGGAAGTTCAAAAAAGTTTACGGCAATATCCTTCATGCTTTCAAACAATTTGAGAACATAAACCGTGGAATTTTCATCAAAATACTCGGGCGCGGATTTTTGTTGTATGAACCAACCTCTGAGATTAAGTCCCCATTCTCAGCATGAACCTGAGCCAACGCTCCAAGTTCTTTACATTTCTTCATGGCCTGAATCATTTCTGCATCACTGATCTGGAAAATATCTTTGTAGGCCATGAACATTTTGAAAGAGTTGATACCATGTTTAGCAACCAGCTCCTCCATCTCCGTGGCAACCTGCAAAAAAAATCAACAATCGCTCAGAAAATGTCACTTCAATCCATACACAGAAGAGCAGGCTAAAAATTTGAGAAATTCTCTAAAAAGTGACGAGCTAGGTCAAAAGATCAACGTACACCATTGCTCCACCACGTCACAGCGACATGCAAACCGTAATCACAGCAAACTTTTGGATCAGCCCAGCTCCTCCACTTCTTGTAGGCTTCCACTAGACTAGTGTTCTTACTCGGCATAACAAAGTCAACTGCAAAGATAAAAGAAAAGTGAAATTAGAACGATCTTCTAAACAAAATATATCAACAAAAATCAGTGGAAAGAGATTAGGTTTCATTGCACCAGATCAAATTTTTTTCAGACCCACATACATTAATCACAGGCTCGTCATTCCACGATGATAATCGCTGTTGAAATTGGATGACTCAATAATCTCCAAGTCTAATACATTTACTCCCCTTCGTAAATTATTTTTGACAGGAATTATTTTTTTTTACCTATCTGAATTTCCTTGGAAACCGAGCATTAAAAACCTCCTAAACTAAAAAGGTTACACCTTCAAACAGCATTACCTCTAATTTTCTGGGGGGCCTTTTGGCCATCACTGTACTTTATCAACACAAATATGGCCAACTAAATTTCCTATAATTTTTGGTTCGTTCAGCCAAAAAGTGCCTGTTTCCCAAACTCGCATTTCTATGGCGGTTACATCGAAATTCGACTTGAAAAGGTTCAACAGTATAATTCACTACTGTACTGTGATACATCATAGATGATTCGGGGCCACAGCTCCCAAAAACTTGGCACACTATCTTAGATTAAGTTTTCAAAGAGGAGTTTGCATCACACGTGAACAAGAAATGCGCAGAATTTCCTAGATCCAAAACTGATGTAAAACTCAAACAGATAAAAATAACACCTGAATATTCTAACCCTACACAAAACTAGAAAATACTACAGAAGACCTTCGTAAAATGAACCGAACCTGAGATTTTTGACAAGTATTCAGGCTTTTCCACACGATAGCAACAGCATTGCGAGAAAAAGTTCGACGATTATGACTGTTCATTTCGATTTCCTGCTCAGCCTCAAATTTCTTCACAACACTTCGCAAGTCCATGTAATTTTTCTTCTCTTCAGAACAACACATTCTAGGCGCATAGAAATTGTCCCTGAATTTCGAATATCTTTGGAGATTCAATGATGAAAAACACGAACTCATCCATTAGTCGTCAGAAGCTCAGAACGCGGCGTTTCTTCGTGACTTCGAATATTACACCATCTCGTAGAAACCCTACCCTGTTTTCCAAATACTGTATTACGATGCTTTGTTTATCTGGGAAACAATTTTTCATGTTTTCCGCACATGATTCTTCAGACAGAAAACGTTACCAGCCACAATCGGCATGAAAAGGTCCTGTAGTTACAGAAAAGTATTCATTCCCTACTCCACTATACAGAAAAATTACAGGAAATTTCTACAAAAATTATCAGGAGTGCACATTCTATACGATGAACGTTTTTTCGCTTTTTTAAATGATTACGCATCCAGAAATTGGACCCTCATTCGGTTTCCTTATTCGTATTGCACTCACTGATCATCGTAGTGCCGCCAGCCAAGGCAGCTCGGGTTCCAATCAAAAAGTCGTCCACGGCTCTTGTTCCCATGAAGGGCATCTCCATGTGGGTATGGGGGTCAATGCCTCCAGGAATGACGAGCTTTCCAGTCGCATCAACGATTTTCGCACCATTCGGTGCATCTAAACCGCGTCCAATTGCTCTAAAATTTAAAAAATCCGTTAAGATTTCAATGATCTCATAAAACACACGCATCCGCATCTTGAAAATGTGCTAGAAATTTCAGAAGAGGAAATACGTCGAAGATTGAAATTTCACGGGAGATTAACCTTATGACGCCGTTTTCAACGATCACATCAGCATCAAAAATGTTATCGTGGTTGACCACTCGTCCACCGCGGATGAAGATCGCCTGGAACAAATTCATCGTCAAGTAAAATTATCCTAGCAACAACTAGCTGATAAACAATGCTGTACTCACCATTGTTGCAACTGAGATGGGTATGACGGCAAACAATGGGCAATATCACTATACAGTATCCGATCGGAAATACGAAGATTCTGAAGCTAAACGCGTGAACGCGGCTCAAACCCTGTTGAAAAAAGAAAAAATCACAGTGCAGTAGCTCGGGAGAAGAGAGTTTCGACGGACAGGAGTGGTTCAATGAACACAGCGAAATTCTTTCCTCACCGGGCTTCGATCGCGGAGAAATGGGCAATGAACCATTACATCATATTCCAACGGAACTGCTGATTGTTGAATCACGCAGTTTGTCTCACGAAAAAAAGCGATCTCTTCGGTTACCGAGGTAACATTTTGAAAACCCGACATTGCGCCATGTTTCGGTTCGTATTCACACGGGTACTGCGCTCAGTCTGACGTCACAGAAGGATGCTTTCAGAATTCTACACACGTTCGAACGGAGTGTTCATCGGAATGCACATGCTCAGCCGAAAAGGCGGCCTTCGACATGATCCTTTTTTCAAACAAGGAGTACGGCACAGGCTCACAGGAAATGCTGCTCACGACGAAGTTTTCTTTCGCCGCGTTAAGCAATCCACTAGTAAAATGACTCGACGATCAACATTGAAAAATCAACGAGTGCGGGAAAAATCGGGGCAATTTACTAAAAGTTGCCGGTAACGGTGTCAGGACGCATAAGCACCACTCGAAAATACGGTCAAATCCCGTATGTTGATGCAACCGGAGCGTATTAAAGCTTGGGGTTCAAAATCTGCTTCTACTACGTCAACTTTTCCGGATGAATTCAGACACGAGAACCGTCACAATCATGAAAACTTGAAGCAACAGGTCCGATTCAAGATCAGACACGTCGTGTTGTTCTTAATACACTATCGCACATTTTCCATCGTCAAGTTTCCCCGTCTCAACCGGTAAGCGGATCGCAACTGACATGGACGCAGGTTGCTAGGTTTGAATCGTACACTTGCGAGTCTGGTTTCAATGTCGGTCCGCTTCAAACGGGCGCCAGTAAGGTTTTATTTTTATTCGCAGGTGTAAAAGAGTATCATAATGAGAAAACCATCCTGCTCACTTACGCGTTAAATAATTATGCAGTACACTACTTGGTTATTTTAAGTGTGAGTAACACACTACAAATTATTTTTCTTGCAACTTTCAATTGCTCTGACACTTCATGACAAAGCAATTAAAATCTCGAGAATACCCTGAACAATTTGATTAAATGGTACTTTACTCAGGAGGAGGAGAGACAAACATGGACTGTTCATGGCACTGTACACTTTTTCAATCCTCACAATTATATAGTCAACTTGTACATATGCGTTATCTGAAACTGCTTCATTCCTTCAGTCAAGTCATGCGATTTGTGCTTTGGTCTCTTTTGGGATGCCGAATGGTCGCCCGTCAAGATAACGAACGCTGCACCCGGCTGTTACGCTGAAGACGGCGCTCAGGGCAACGACTGCATGGGATCACTGTCCCTGTGCCTGTCCTTTTCCGTTGGCCGCGCACACGCGCGCGTTCAATGACGTTGTTTTACTTCGGATTTCCGAATAACATGTGTAACCTTCAAAACCCAGATACCCAAGTGGGATCACATGCTGATGAAACGAGTCCGCATTTGTTGAGGATTGAGTCTGGCTTCAGACCAGGAGTCACCAAATCCAACCGAACTGGACAAGTGTTGCGAATGAACAGGACCAAGAAGTTATCTTCTGGATTTGGTTGTTACTCCTCCACAGAAGGTTCAACCACATGAAGGTGTGTGCCATTTTTGATCTGATCCTAGTAAGGTACAGGACTGGGTATGACTGCATACTGATTACTGACACATAACTTCCCTGAATGGTAGATGTTGATTTTTCACCCTATACTGTACTCTTTGTGATGCAAGGTATACATTGTACTACACACTAAAAACATTGAAGTATATGCATGGGTTCATATATTGGCCAAATTTCTCTTTCATCTTTTCCTTTCAAAAGACATTACATTACTTTTTTGCTCTTTTGATGTGAATAGAATAGAAACCATCAAGTTGCCTAAAAAATTCAAGATATTTACGTTTGAGGAGGATGATTGCCTTTGAGTTTTAATAGGAACATTTTTAATGCATTTTTCCCAGGATAATTCAGACAGAGACTTGAAAAATGATTTGACCTATTTGGAGGTGCTGCTGTGCAACTTGGGCTGGAGGCTTGTGTCATTAAGGTTTAACTACTGTACTGTCTATATAATGTACATGGCTTGTGTAGGTTTTTGTATAATGTTCACATACCCTTGTTTACATTTTGACTGGATTTTTGTTTGAGTGAAGAGATGCTTGTAAAATACCCTAATTCTCGAAATGTATTAGGAAATTATTGAGCCTGAATATTGTAGTCAAGATTTTCTTCATCCTTGTTTTGAAGCCAACATTTTGCCCTTGCATCAGTCAAGGTTTCAAGAGAAGAAAAAAGAACCAAGATGTTACACTTGAACAGCAAATAAGAATAAATTGAGATTTCAAGTAATTTTTCTTCCCTCTTTGCCTGGAAGCAAATAATATCAGATCTGTTTCTCTTCTGTTCTGCTGAAGGGAAAACTGAACCTGGCATTTTGTCATGGGTTTTCTGCACCTGCTGCATGGTGGAAACAAGAGGTAAATAAATGTAAACAAAATAAAGTCCAAGTTGCAGCTACAGTATAAGACGAAGGCTCAATAATGGAAGTGTTCCCTGACACAAAAATATATAGTAAATTCCAATGAGGAGCATATATTTGTGGAGCACAGGATTTCTCAAGGATGATCATTCCAGGCAGTAGGACATAAATTGATCAGGTTTTTGCTCTTCATTTGGTGTTTTGAAGACTTTTTATGTTGTGAAAATGCAATGCACCACAATTTATGAAATTACCCTGTCCTGGAAGAAAATTTCTTAAAAATTCAACATTCATCTATTAAACATCTTATTGGAGCACATTTTGTGAAATCAACATGAAATTGATTACATGGCTTTTCTCGCCTTTCTGTGCTCTACCCTTTGCCAAACACTCTAACTAGTACAGTTGAATAACCTTGCTATGTTTAAACTCTGCAAGTCAAATACCTCCATAAGTCAAATATTTTTCAAGTTCCTGTGCCTGAATTCCCCTAGAAAAAATGCATTAAAAATCTCCATAACTCAAAGACAGTTTCCTCTCAATGATCCATTAGTTTAATTTTTTGAGCCTTTTGGTTATTATTTTATTGAAACCGGAAAGAAAAAAGACAAAGGGAATTGGATGTGTTTTGAAAGGATGTGACAGATTTAATTGGGGAGATGAACCCCTGTCTCCAAGTTCAGTGTCAACTCATTTTAATAGAAGCAATGTATAAGGCCCAGAATATCACCATACAATTTAGTCCAATTCTTCAATGTTTCCTACAATAAAAATGCTTGATTCCATAAGTCACACATCTGTATAACTCAAAACCTCCCAGCAAAGTCAAAACCTTCCGCAGTCAAAATTTTTTGCTGTTCCCTTGAAATTTGACTTAGAGTGGGTCAACTGTATAAACTGCACATGGAAATTGACTTAAAATAATGTCCCTTGGCCTAATCTACATTTTCCTTGAGAATAATGAGTTGTGAAGGTTAAAACCCATTACCTGCCGTGGGCCCCATTTGGGACTCAAGTACTTCTTCCCACGCCAAAACATACCACCCCTATAAAAATTAAATAAAAATATGCCAAGGATGCACAAATAAGTTTTCTACATTTAAAGACCTCATTTGCCTATTTATAATCATTTTTAAATTTACAGCAACATGTTTTCTGAAGCCAACTCACAAATTCTGTTGGAAAGTTAAAATATGATTTTTGAAATTCAAGAAAAGTACTTTCTAATGCAGCTAAACTAAAAATTGTTTATGTCCTTGTACCCTGGTTAGTTCAGAATGCTTTGGCATATTTCAATTGTTTTTTTGGAATTTTGATCAATCACAACAAGTGCAAGAACCTTGATCCCCAAATGGGGCTCATGGCAGCTGGGGTGTAAACAAATTATTTTGGAAATCTTTTAAAAATGTTTCCAAAAATTTTAATATGTTGAATGAATCTGTCTGCTGGGTTGAGCATGCAAAAGTAATATTACAAACAAGTGAAACATTTTTTTTCATTCAAAATCAATTATTTTAAAATTTTTCTCTAGTTGTAATAAAGACAATTTTTTGAAAAAAATTTGTAAAGATGCCCCCAAGCTTTCAAACTTTACCCAACAGCTGGAAAATATTAGCAAATTGATGTTCTTTTGGCTGAATGGGTAACATAGAGTTTTTCAGCTTAAAAAAAAAATTTCTGAAATTTTTGGAAAATAGTAAAAAAAATGGCATTTCATACCTAGTGGCATTCTATCATCTAAAATGAATCAGAAGTTATGTTAGTTCTCACATTAACATGAAAAAAATAAAATTGAGCCAAAAAAAATTTTTTTTTCAATGAATTGAAGACTTCTCACTAGTAAAAAAGAGGATGCTACCTGCCGTGAGCCCCATTTGGGGATCAAGTTTAAAATTCAAATATTTGACAAAATTTTGAATTTAAAATTTGGAAAAAAATGTCACCAGCCTATCTAAATGTAAATGAAGTGAACTGATGCAAAAACTGGTGTGTAGGAAATTTGGCAGTTAATTGGTTTATGTATACTGTACTATATATTGATAACATTCTAGGATTGAACAAGTTATTTTGTTTTCATGTCTAAAAATGTGTTCAACAAAATAATTCAGCAGTAAATTCCATGCTTTTTCTAGTTCATCTAGAAAAAGCAAATGATTGAATGTATTGCCATCAATAACTTTGCTGCATTCCCTTTCACCTAGCAGACGACGCTCCGAATAAAGTCAGGTCGTCTGGCTCACGGTTTTGCCGCATGATCTCTCGCGAGTCACGCGCCACAAGGTTACGCAACCTCACCTAGAATGAGGTCAGATCCGGGTCTGACCATTCTTGCCCAACCTTATCCTAGTGAATCTATATAGTCACCTGTTCTCTGTTGATCGCGCGCTCATTGCTGTCCGAAGTTTGTTAGAGTACGGTATCTCTGCTGTTGAACACAAAATAAAGCTCACTCATATACTTTGATAAAAGAGGAGTTGAATTTAC